CCACCAAGAACATCGAGGGCCTCTTGTGTCTTTTCCTGTTGGATGTGGGCATCTGCGTATATGTCACCGATTTGGCGTTGCAGCCAGTAGGCGTCGATCTCGCGAGCGGAGACACCCAGTCCTGTCTTGTCTCCAGCCTTATCGTCCTGTCCGAGACCACCATCAATGACCATCTCCTCGTCTTCGCCGGCTGCTTGGGCAGTTTGATCATTGTTGAGTTCGTCTTGGTCATCCTCCTCATCCTCATCGGAATCCTCGTCCCGGATCTCATCGACAGTGCCCATACCATCATTGTCCTCGTCTTCGTCGAAAACCACGGCGACTCCTTGGCGTTCGTCGAGTTCGGCTTCCTCCTCAGCGATGCCACCGTCCATATCCTCATCGTCATCCTGAGCGTCGTAGTCGGTAATTTTCTTACCCAGATTCATCAGCTCGTTGAATTCCTTGGGGTTCATGGCGCTGCCTAGAAGATCGTCGACTTCCTTCTTTTTATCGAAATCCTTCATCTCCTCATCCTTCAACAGTTCCAGAACGGCGTCGGCGGCACTTCGGGCGACTTCGCGGGCACATCGCCCAGGTGGCTTCCGGTGATCGTTAGGATAAGGTCGTAAGTGGCTCGTGTGGCGGGGGTTCGTGGGCGATATTTCAAGCCCTCAACTAGAGCATCGGCGGCGGAAAGAATACCCTGTCCTCGTAGTTGTGCAGGCTGGCCGCGTTGGCGCTTCTTTTGTTCTCGCATCAATACATCCTCACCTTCACGAATCGCACCTCGTTCGAGATCTGATGGGCCGACCGGCTTCTTCTTAGACTTGGGGGCATCATCGCGCGCTATCCGGGAGCCCATCTCTCTGATTCCGATGCGGCCAGCGATGGACTCAGGGTCTCCGGTAGGTTCGTCATTGACGCGACTGATAAAACGACGGTCCGCCTGGAGAACCAGGTTGGACATCGCCGAGTATTTGTACTGCGAAATATTTTGGTCCGCCATGATGGTGTGTTGGTGCCGTTCTCACGACAAGGCGATCAATCGATGTAAGGAAGAAGAAAAAAATGAGTGAGTCGCGACTTGGATCGGCTTGATGCGCCAAATTCGAAGTCGTTCACGTCGCACGTGCAGGGGGGTATCAGCGATTGAGTGAAATTAAATGGAGTCACAAACCTGGCTCATCCTCCTGTCGCAAGCGAGCTGACTTGTTGGGGGAGAAATGGAGGCCAGGGTTTGGAAATTGTAGTAATCTCTCGAAGGAGAGAGGCAGTCGGGAAGATTTCGGTGGATGGCGAAGGCGGAAGGCGGAGTGCGGAGGGGAGCTCCAGTTTTGATGAGTTCTGCCGCTCGGCATTCCCCCAGCGTTGCTTGCTTCGACCGCGTCGCAATGATGCGCTTGAATCTCAATGGCAGGGCACTTGTGCAATGGAGACCATCCTGGCAATTACCAGTGGCCTCTACTGCAGGTGGGAATACCTCATCTTATCACTGCCGCGTACATCGGACGATCTGTCATCATGCGCAACATTCACCAGTTCGTGCGCGTATCCCTAGTGTGACGCCTGCGGTCCCAGTGGTCCAGCAACAAAGAGGCGCAAAGACGAAATCTACTGTCAAGTTGAAGGACCTTCCACAAGGTGTTGTGAAGCTTGAGGCTTATGATGATGGCGTCGATGAGGCCCCACGTTACCCGACAGTCGTTCAGGGTCATCGAAATAACATGCAAAAGTTCAAGAATTGTGTAGTTCTTACGCGTGTTGGAGGCTTCTATGAGGTATGCAACGCTTTTTTATCATGATAGAGATAACCCCTAATATATCGGATCTAGCTCTACTTCGAACAAGCTGAGGAATTTGCCCCCTTACTCGGTATGAAACTTGCAACCAAGAGGACCAGCGCCGGACCTGTCCCCATGGCTGGATTCCCCTTCTTCCAACTTGATCGGTACCTGAAAATGTTGGTTCAAGACCTAAACAAATATGTGGCCATCAGCGAGGAATTTACTCCTGTGGCAGAGGAGAAAGCGAAATCAAATACTGGCTTGCTGTTCGATCGGAAAGTGGCCAGAATTATCACACCAGGTACATTAATTGATGAGAAATTCATTGACCCATCTGAGCATAATTTTCTGCTATCCATATACCTTGATGTTCCGTCACTAGAAACACACTTGAAACAAAAGGACGATACACAATCATCTCAGCATATACTGTCTTCTGTGCCTCAACGTGTAGGATTGTCCTGGCTGGACCTCTCTACAGGGGACTTCTTTACTCAACTCACCTCTTTGCAAATGCTACCATCTGCCATAGCCCGGATCGGAGCTCGAGAGATCCTCGTCGATCAACAAGTTCAAGATCTCATCGGGCAGGAGCTGCAGCTTCTGGTCGGCTTTGAGCATCGCCTCGTCACTTTCTTCCGGTTCCCCGAAACATTCGCACCTATGTCTCAATGGGAATCAATGCTCGAAGCTCCAATCCCAGAGGAGACTCATGCAACTTTCTCGGCGGAGGAAGTTGCCGCTGGGTTCAGCTTACTTGAATATATTCGCGTGCAGTTGCAAGGATCGAATCTCAAATTACAGCCCCCACGTCGGAGACATCTTGATGAATCAATGAGCATTGATCGAAATAGTTTGAGAGGCCTCGAAATCCTCGAAACTGCACGGGATGGATTTGGAAAGGGCAGTTTGCTTCATGCCGTCCGCAGAACTTCTACTAAGAGTGGCGCGCGTCTATTACGAGACCGACTCAGTGAGTTTTCCAATTTGAATATTTTTATATGTTTTATTGACCCGTCCCAGCTTCCCCATCTACTTCATTACACATCATCAACCAGCGCCTTGATCTCGTTGCGGTACTGATAGCGAGCGAGGAACTCCGTGATAGCGTCGTTCAGCTGTTGAAGCGTAGCTACGATGCTCAACGACTAGTACAGAAATTTGCACTTCGGAAAGGAGATCCAGATGATTTAATCTGCCTTTCCCGTGCCATTGAAGCATCCAAAGGCGTTAGACAGGTTCTTTCCGACCACAAGACAACCCTAATCTCTTCTTCGTCCGACGCGAAACACAGCCTCAGCACCATGATCTCACGGCTTTATCTAGATGGGCCAATTGCTCTTGCAGAAAGGATTCTGGCCGCTATCGATGAAGAAGGTCTTTTGCAGCAACAACGTATCGAAGACAGCACGGCCGCCGCCGCAGCTAATTTAGCCCAAGAAGTCACACTCAATGAAGGCACTTCTAGCGACCTCCAGTCACTACCTAAGAAGATAAGAACCAAAAGTAGTGACCGGGCGGCGGCAGCGGATGCAGAATCCGGCTCAGTTGATACGTGGATCATGAGACGCGACGCCAGCAGTTCCTTGAACAAGCTGCATGCAGAAATTGAGTGCCTTTGGGATGAAAAGGCGTCGCTAACTCAACACCTTCGGGATTCAGTCGGTTCCTCCGCGCTGACTCTTAAATGGACCCCTGGCCTCGGCCACATTTGCCACGTCAAAGGTCCGAAGGTTTCCCAAGAAGCCCTCGAGGAACTTGGGATCACGCGCAATGTTTCCTCCACAAAATCTACCAGATCGTTCTACCTCCCTGCGTGGACCGAGCTTGGAAATAAAATGGAAAATGTTCGAGTCAAAATCCGCCAAGAGGAGCAAGCCATCTTTGAGCGCCTCCGCCGAGAGGTCATCCTCAACTTGGTCAAGATCAGACGCAATGCAGCAGTCATGGATGAACTAGACGTTGCATGTTCCTTCGCAATCCTAGCTCAAGAGCAACAAATGGTACGTCCGATCCTCAACAACGGCTCTTCGCACCGAATCGTGGGCGGCAGACATCCAACAGTCAAGCTGGGCCTGGAAGAACAGGGTCGATCATTCGTTAGTAATGACTGCTTCCTCGGCGAAAAGGAACGTATCTGGCTCATAACTGGTCCAAACATGGCGGGCAAAAGCACATTCTTGCGGCAGAACGCTTTGATCACCATCCTGGCGCAAGTGGGCTCGTATGTGCCTGCCGCTTACGCCGAAATCGGAATTGTGGATCAAATCTTCAGTCGCATCGGCGCGGCTGACGATCTCTTCCGTGACCAATCCACGTTCATGGTTGAGATGCTTGAGACTGCCGCTATTCTGAAACAAGCCAGCCCTCGCTCGTTCGTGATCATGGATGAGGTTGGGCGAGGCACCACACCGGAGGATGGGACAGCTGTCAGCTACGCTTGTTTGCACCATCTACACTATCACAACCAGTCCCGAACGCTATTCGCAACACATTTTCACTCGCTGGCCGATATGACAAGCCAATTTGAACATCTAGAGCGGTATTGCACGGATGTCAAGGAGACGGATTTGGGGGCTTTCTCGTTTGTGCATCGACTGCGGAAAGGTGTCAATCGTGAATCGCATGCTTTGAAAGTAGCCCAATTGGCGGGTCTCCCTCAAGAATCCCTTGATCTTGCCAGACGCGTCCGTGAAGAGTTGCGAGTCGAGTCCGTTTCCCCTAGTCCTACGATCGAGGACCCAAAGGCGCCATAGACATCCTGACTTGCAACCGACAGGTTGGTTTGCGATAGCGCGCAGGCCTTTCCGGATATATGTAAAATAGATTCCCATGTAAAATATGCACAATAAAGGCCCATTTTCCCAGTCATTTCCCCAGGATATACTACTACTACTACTACTACTACCTCGATAAGCTATGATAGAGTACTCATAGTACTAGAGATCGCTTCCTGAAATAAGATAGATGGATCTAAAAGGCCATCTTGCACAGGTGCGCACAGACCTACATGTCCGGGTTATATCTGGGGTTCCGCTCCGATGTAGTGGGACGGTTGTAAATAACGTTAAGTAATAAGATCATAACCTAATCTCGCGGTATTAATAGGAGGATCGTCATGGCGAACGGGGGCTGCATAGATCAGAGCCAGAGTGTGGAACAGGGTTTGAATGAACGCTTTAATTGTGATGATTTTATACAATATCTATTGTCTAAACCTCGGGTCGCCATAGTCTAGAGCTTCGCTGCTGTCCAAAGCTTTGGCCCCTTCAGCTCTTTCCGGCCATACTGACCCTTGTACCCAAGATTAACATTAATACCTTCGCCGAATGCCGCCTCTTGACAATCCTCATCATCAACACCATTGACGTGCTGCACGACAACGAAATCCACGCGGCGCGGGCCAAGCACGACCATAGGCGCATGCCAAGTGCCAGCAGCATACGTAACGGACTGACCACCTCGTCCAATGAAAGCCTTTGCGTTATGCAGATCGGGCGGATCGCGAATTGTAATAAGTTCGCCTGCTTGGTTCTTCGCGGTAGCGGTTTCACCCTTAAGTGTGGGCGCAACAACGACCAGGAAAACGGGTTCTTCCTCGCCATTTCCGACCTTAGAATGGCTCGATAGATCGGTAGGAATGAAAGTTTGGTGGGTGTATGGGTGGCGCTCTAGAATGCGAACATCGAAGGCTTCTTTCTCGGGTTGGTTGGTGGCTGTGATACTGCGGAGTTTGCGCGGGAAGCAGCAGAACATGGTCAATCTTGTTTCAGAGGGTGTGCCGCTTGGCCCATTCTTGTAGTTGTCCAGCATAGGCGAGATAGGGCTGAATTTGAGGGCTGAGTTTTGGTTTGCGAGAATGGGCGTCGGGGTATGCGGGTTTGGGGGCAGAGAAGACGGTTGAACGGCAACGCTAAGGTCGCGTGGTAGAGGCGATTGAATTGCTGTGCCGAATTGGGCGAAGCTGGCCGGGCTCAGAGGCTCAGGAACCAGTGTGAGGGCTGGGTTGGAGGTGAGGATTGGAGCCATGGTGGTGGGGGGGGGGCGTTGGAGAAGGCGCTCGAAGGAATTGGGGCCGTAAATGGGCTCGCTCGCTTTCGGTATTATTTATTGGGGTGCTGATTTATCTTCTTTCCTTCTGAAGGGGGTCTTCAGGGGAGAAAGCGAAAGAGAAACTAGCAGAAGGTGAGTTTATGGGGTCGAGAGAAGCGGAGAGGTTAATGTCGGCGCTCTCCGGTTGGGGTTGGGGTCGATAAGATAGCGGCCGGGGCCGATTGGGACAATCCGGGGAACCCTGACCCAGAGCCATGCTGTGTTCGTATACAAGCCCGGAGAAGACAAACTGATAGTAAATATTGATACAGTGTGTTCAGGATGGTTAATAATCACGGGATAACTCATGCCGGAAATATTTGGGGAAATATTGACCTCTGAACCTTTGAACGCTTAGTACCGGAATGCATGAGCGGGCCACTGGGAACCATGTGATGCATAAAAGCCACAATCCTGAGAAGTTCACCGGAGATCCGAAGCACTAGCCTTGGGATTCGAGGTACCCGTCAACTCTTAAACTTTTACGTTCAAGCTTATTGGTTAGATCAGCCTTCTATCTAATCGGATGGTGTAATCGTGATATATCCAGCATACTAGTGGCTATCCAAATTTGAAGCGATAGACCACATGCCCAGGTGACCCAAAGAAACACTATATAGTAAATTTCTTGTTTTTAAACATTGGCAATGACCTAAATTGGAATCAAGTTACTCGTAGATAATCACAGCTGTCATACTTTCCGAGGTCGAGTTCGAAAGCCGGCTTTATGCTGGGTTTAACCCGCTCCGCGGCCACATCAGTTAGTATCAATCTTCGAACCAGTAGGATTTGAAATTTGACCCGAGTGCGGGGAGTGGTATGACCTAATCTACAGTCTTTAGTCTGCTTACTATCGACTGGGAGCGTCTGATATAGTCAGGTTTAGGTATCCAGTTAACTATGCAATATGTCCACTATTAGTATTGATCCAGTTGTCTCTATTTCTCTGAGCATGGGGTAAACAAAGCTGTATGGACCCCCAAAAAACAAGAGCTCAAGACCAATGTATCCACACATTGTGCCGTTCATTCGACCCCACCTCTCCACGAAGGCGCTCGCATGTGAAACATAATAGATTAAAGCTCGAACTAATATGCATGCGTAGCTTACGAGGTCCCTTTGTATAGGTCGCATGGGTTGTGGATATCATGCAACGGGCCAACGCATCTCCGGGTCGGTGCCCAACTAACAGAATCTTGGTAAATTGACGTTAGGCTTAACTTTCCCGGAATGCTAGACCATTAATCATCACGAATAAAGAGGAAGCTCTATGACTCGCACACGCAAATGTTTGGACCGTCCACATGGGTCACACCTCATTGGTCAGAATATCGGAGTCTTGTGAAGACGCGGAACACAAGGTGGGTGGAGAGGGATCCAGGATCCTTGCCCTCCAAGATGACCAGCGCAGGATAGTTCCCGGTCGCTTTCATTGCTCAGTGGAAGCCAGACCCCGAATAGAGGGGTTCGCAGCTGGTTCGCACAAGGCAACCACGATATCAATCCTTATACACTTCTACAGCATACAGCGGCGAGTACATCTACATGCGTCAACATAACGCGGAGACTGGCTCAAACACATTGTAATGCGGCTCTTCTCTGCGGAGTCACTCTGCCCAAATTCATCTCCTCGGAGCGGCCGCTCTCTGAGGATTCGCCATTGGTCCATCCGCTATTTGGTCGAAGCATCGTCGGCTACACGGGCCTTGTCATTGGAGATCAAACTATGTGCCCAATATGCTACTCCATGGCTACGTTTCGAATTCTGATAAACGTCAAATATTATAAAGGAATCGCCTACGGCACCAGTTGATTTCTGTGTTTCTTATGATGCCCCCATTTTCCTGGCTCTTTCACCCCCCCTTGAACTCGTTCCTTCGACCTTGCCATTTAGGTCCCCTCATTACCTCCCTCTTTCGTCCAATAGGAAACATCCAGAAAACAAACCAACAAAATGCCCTCGGAAGAAGGTGGACAGAGCTCGTCGGCTCCCACAAATCCCACAGGAGCAGGTTCAGCTGGGGGCACTACAGCACAGGGGTATTTTGACTACATTGGATCCCTGTTTCGTCTCTCAGTCAATACTAACCGATGGCTTCTTATCACACAGTGACACAAACGGCAGTGGTGACATAGCCTTCCAATACATGGGGGCTTGGGTAGGTGACTCGCATGCTTTCTGATACTTCCTAGCTAATCGGAGATATGCGAGGGGAAAGACCGGCAAGTAATCCGCAGCCAAAAAAAAGACGACGCGGGGCAATTACGGACACCGTATAAGACACCCAAGGATGAACTAAGAGAATGAATCTCTAAGCCCAACCGTATGGGGAATCCGGAGGGAGTCCGACAATACCCGATCTGGCTAGGAGATTATGACGTTTGTCTCACGGCTGCACGAATATCTAGCGAGAAACTGGGTCTGCTTTAATGGAGCTTTTCATCAGTGGGTAAAGGCGTTGTGGAATTGACTTGGATTGGACGTGCATCCAATTTTATGCTTGCGAGGGGCGCCTATCAAACGGTGCATGCGGGCTTCCGCAGCGGGGGGCGGGACTACATCGGATGGGGAAATTTCTTGACAAGGGACTATCCTTGCAGGGAATTCTGAGGTTGGAAAGAGATGACGAGAGCTTCCTCCAATCTTGCCCATTGACCCGCTGCAATGGATGCTCTGACTTCAAAGCCGAGGATGAACGTGCGCCGTTCTCCGCATCTCCCGTGTTGCCCCTCTTTTTCATTTTGTATGAGGCGCTGGCGTACAGGGAAGGGTTATCTTTCTGCGTTGTCAACTTTTTCTTACGCTGTCTGCGGTAATATGGTTATTTGTCTTTGAAGGTGTTTTGTCTTGTTTCATCCCCCTTTCCCCCCTCTCTTTTTGTCATCAGATTCAAATGTTTGCTACGCGGTAGATCCGCCATCCTTCTCTCAGTGATCGACAGCGAAATATGCGACTCCAGTTTGATATTGCCACACAATGCATTGGTAGCATCATGGAGTTGCATCCGATGCGCATGACTGCCCAAAATTCGAGTGTAGACTAAGTTGAGCCTCCTTCGACGCGATATCGCAGTACCGTCCGATCCCACACGATGGCTTGACGGATCAAATAATAGCATGAAATTGCATGGAAGGTTTGGAGGTCAAAAGTTGACCATAGGGCTGAAGGTGGATACTACTTTTACTCCGAATAAAGGCTCGACTAGCTGCATCAGGATGTTCTATTTTGTAGTTAGTCAAATAAACCCCGCAAATATCTACGTCCTTCTAATGAGATACCTCCATATTGGCATGTATCATCCCAATTCGATGGCCTTCATGTTCATATTTAGAATTTTCATCAGAACATTATTTATTGTGTTAGTGAGTGTCAAAATTCAAAGGAACAACACTTAATTTAGTTATTCGTGTTCGTTTACTTAGCTACAATAAGAAACTCACCTCGACATTACAGTACAGGTGAACAACTCAGGGCAACTCAGCCTCCTTTAAAATTGCATTCGAAGCAGCAATGGGAGAATTTTATCTCCAATCTATTACTCGATTTTAAAGATTGAAGGGGGATTATATAAAGAAGGTCGCTTGCCTCTTCAAGAACTTCAGATAATGTGGGCGTTTCTCGTGTATTAAGTACATTTTACCATGGCTTGGTCATTTGTTGGAAGAACATTTAGGATTAAATCTATCACAACAGATGGATAAAGCCCATGCGGATCATATTATAGTACCTGCTTGTTTGTTGATAAGGGAAGACTCGGAGACGTATCTCATTCCTAACAACCCAAGGCGTATCAAGGATGCTAATGACCTGACATATAGGGGTAATGAGTACACCCATATTTCCCTCTGAATGCATTGGGTTAATCAGGATATATATTCTTCGCTGTTTGAGCTTCTTTCAATTGAATACCTAGGTATGTATCCTATCGTTCACTCACTCTCTACTACTCGGAGTAACTCGTGATTTCAACAAAAGGTCACGGTGGCTTTATGTACATTTGAAGCGCCAAAAGCCTCATGTAGGTATGTCACCAATACTACTGTACATCGAATGCCTCTTATACAGTACATCGTAATTCACACTTTCGAGTCCTTGGTAAAGGCCCGAAGGAAAGACACTCATTTCTCCTCGAAAGCCTTCTCGATATTTCCTTCATCTCCGATATGGTTGTAGCACCTATCATATCGGTGTTCGATTTCTTCGTTGTGCTTTCGCACGTCTTCTGGTAGATCCTCATGTTTAACACCGCTTATGTCGGCTAGATTTGACTGTCTGCCGTCGCGGAGAGTTGGGTGGGCGTTGTTGGAGGGAATTGGGTGGTTGGGAGTGTTACCGCGGTCACATTTCTCTTCTAGGTCATGCTCATTTGCGCTTGAAAATTTTTGGGGAGTGTCGTGGACGTATGCTCGTTGGTTGATCGAGTAGCGACCGAGAGGAATTGAAGTTGGCGTTCGTAGTCGCAACGGGATACGCAAGAAAGAGCTCATTTTGGATTAAAGTACCTCAAGTTTGATAACGAGAGTGAGCAATGGTGTGGCTGAATATAGGGTCAAATAATGTGATATGAGGGAAATCATACTTAAAAATAACTGGGAGGATTGTATTGCCCACTGGGTGTATCCCGGGGTGATCTATAAAATCAGGTTTCTACGCCTTGCCAGGAACGTATTCTTGCCCCACCCTCCAGGGCTTTTAATACTATATTTGGAGATGGTCCATGACGTAGACGTACCGACGTCACAATAGCTACAAATCCCTTTCTGTTAAAGATTTATTGAACCTGACACTTTTCAAGGCTTGTAATATTACTGAACATAATGATTCTATTCAGAGTCTTCGGAAACCCTCTCGTTTTCATCGCCATATCGCGAAGTCCATATGTGATTGTAGTATACAAAACTGGCATTCTTATGCTCAAAGCTGCAACCCGGTGATGGAGAACACCTGAATGGGCGGTTTTTGTAGGACAAATGCCCAAATAATCAGAACTTCGCACATTATTCCTGCCCGAAAGAATGAAATCTGGGGAGAAAGACTTTGATACTTGGAATATCGGGTGGAAGAATGACACCTAGATAGAATTGATTCTGGAGTTGGTGAGGCTATTACACTAAGTATTAATGTGATATTAGCTAGAGTAGATATGAGAGCGGTTTGTCCAGTAGGAAATACACACTAGATGTATAAGCCCCGGAGGAGCCCTCTGGAGGGAGTATCGATCACCTAACCAGGCAGTAGGAAATATGCCCAGACGTGGAAAGCATCCATGTCAGTGATGAAACAGGGTGATTGTGCTGCTAGTGAAAGACAAACATGCCGATGTACATGATTTTTACTACCACTAGATTGTTACAATGAGTTTTTCAACACTGGCATAATATGGTTACTTGGAAAAGGAAAGATAAAGCGTTTGCGGCAATACCATATACATTATTCAGAGTAGCAGATCAAACGTTTATCATGTTTTATTCAGGGATAAATCTTTGGTATCTGAAAACGTGTGGGCCAATACAGAAGGCTGGCATAATCAAATATGACTGGCTGTTGGCAGACAATCTACCGAGAGGCCCAATCAGTCAGAGAGAGTCCTGGACTCAAGACCTCTCCAAATGAAGCTGGATATAGGATGAAATATATCTGAAGGCAACTATGCAAAAGTGTCAGAATGGAGTGTTACCATTTGAATGGCCCTCGGCAGACTAGTAGTTGAAGTCCTGCAGTATCCGGTACGTCCCCCTTTTTGATCAGCCACAGCGGCCGACTGTCGATATTGACCAATGCATTCATAAGCGGACTTAGAAAGCGCTTTCCGGGGAACTAAATGGCGTACGGATAGTAGGATGGCCACTTGAAACCATCCATACAGAGCGGCTGCGGGGGTCTCTCGATCGGAGAATGTTTTGTGATGTGCACCTGACTGTCGAAGACTCTTTGCTCGGTAAGACAGACGCAAATTCCCGGTGGTTGGTACTAAGACAAGGGAAACATCTCGTAATCAGGTGTCAGTTGGATCGCCACCTCGTGACTCAAACCGGGCCTTCTTGGCCCGGCGTTTCATCTCTCTCTTTGAAAGTGCCTTTTCGGGTTCTTCGACTGGTTCAGATCCCAGTGAGGCCTTTCGCTTCAAAGTATCAGCCGCATTACTAGGCTCGACTGGGGTGTCGGACTTCGTGGGCGCTTTCTGCTTCGGTAAAGATTTCTGGCGTTCCACCTTCTCCCCGCCATGGACAATATCGACAATGCCTCGCCAGCTGGTCCGCTTCAGCTTAGCAAGAGCCGTGACCTTTCTGGATTCCTCGCAGATTGCCTCCTTGCCACGCTCCTGCGAAAGTCCCCAGACACAGGCCAAGTTGATCACATCCCACGGAGCTCGTAAGCTCAGGGCTCTTTGGGCCTCACTGGACACAATAATACCGCGGCCTCGTGTGGCTCTGATCAACGCGGTAGCATTCCCGATAAGATTCCGGCGAGCATCTAATCCACTCCCTGTGATTCCGGGGCCATAACATATTTCTAGTCGGACTCCGCGTGATATAGCAGCCGACAGCATTTTGAATTTGAAATGATACGGCAAACGAACTGATAGATCAAGCGAGATCACATCACATTCCAGGTTGGTACAGGCGTTGAGCAAAGCCTTTTCATTTGTCGGACGGAGAGCAACCAGATCGTATGCCTGGGTCAAACTAGCCAGACGCTGGTTCTGTGCGGGATCGGACAAGGTCAGGTTGAGCCGGGTCAGCAGTTGGAGGGATTTAGGCGGGTTTGGCGGGAGAGACGGCGGGGAAATGCTTGCAGGGAGCTTTCCATTAATTGTTTGAGACAAGGCGACAATAGTGTAACCAACTGCAGGGTCAGGTCAGTAACTCATGTGGCCTAGCACTAGATCTTGTGCTGGTTGTCGGCAGAATGACTTACGTTCTGCTAGGAAATTCAAGGTATGAGGAACGTCAGAGTCATCTGGACTGTAAGGAACATTGAGATCAAAGAACATGATGGGTAGGGAGAGAGTGCTTTTAAAGACGCCACCAGGCGCAAGAAAGAGCCAAAGGAAAAGCAAAAGAGCAGCGCTGAAGTTCAAGTGACTTGAGCTGTCCAAAAAGGGAAATCGCGCTTCCCGCAGAAAATCAATTCGGAGAAATAGTGGCTCCGGCCGGATTAACTACATTGGTCCGGCTCTCCACGTGACAACGGAACATCAGATCTGCTCGCATCAGAATTAAACCACCTCTAACCCATTGCTCTAGGACGTTTGATAGCACGGCTGTGTTTGAGCTGGCCAGTTGTTGGGCCTGCCGCGTCTGTTTTATTTCTGTGTCGAACCCTTCCCCCGACCTCCCCCCCCTCCTCCCCTCTCACTGTCACCCGGGCGCACCCCGCGTGACCCCGCCGCATATCTCGATTGTGGGCGCGGGCTCGGAAGCCATCTGCGATCATCATGGCGCGTGTTTACGCCGATGTCAACGAGCATATGCCTCGGTCCTATTGGGACTATGACAGTGTCAACATTTCTTGGGGTGTGCTGGAGAACTATGAGATTGTTCGCAAGATAGGTAATTCGCGCCTGATTGGAGCCCATCCCAGCCCCCGGGAATGACGGTACCATCCGCCGTCATTCCTTCAACTATAGAGATCATCTGCCTGTCTGACTGTTTGCTGACCTTTTGGAACTCTAGGCCGAGGAAAGTACTCCGAGGTATTCGAAGGCATCAACGTTGTCAACTATCAGAAATGTGTCATCAAGGTTCTTAAGCCTGTCAAGAAGAAGAAGATCAAGCGAGAGATCAAGATCCTCCAGAATCTGGCCGGGGGCCCTAATGTTGTCGCGCTGCTGGATGTGGTACGTGATAACCAGAGCAAAACCCCCAGCCTGGTTTTCGAGGCTGTCAACAACACCGATTTCCGGACTCTGTACCCCCGCTTTACGGACTACGATGTTCGCTATTACGTTTTTGAGCTGCTGAAGGCGCTAGACTTCTGCCACAGCAAGGGTATTATGCATCGAGATGTTAAGCCCCACAATGTCATGATTGATCATGAGAAGCGCAAGGTATGTTGGCTTTCCCTTGCGTCTTTTATATGAAAATCTTTTTATATTAACTCTCTTCTAGCTGCGACTTATTGATTGGGGTCTGGCTGAATTCTACCACAAGGGTACTGAGTACAACGTCCGCGTTGCGTCGCGGTATTTCAAGGGCCCTGAGTTGCTTGTCGACTTCCAAGAGTATGACTACTCCCTCGATATGTGGTCACTTGGCGCAATGTTTGCATCCATGATTTTCCGCAAGGAGCCATTTTTCCACGGCAACAGTAACTCCGATCAATTGGTCAAGATCGCCAAGGTCCTTGGAACCGAGGAGCTCTTCGAGTATCTGGACAAGTACGACATTGAGTTGGATCCTCAGTACGACGAGATTCTGTCGAGGTTCCCTCGCAAGCCTTGGCACTCTTTTGTCACTCCTGAAAACCAGCGATTTATTAGCGACGAAGCCATTGACTTCCTCGACAAGCTGCTCCGTTACGATCATGCTGTACGTGGATGCCAATCATACTTTGGACTCCGTGGAAGTAGCCATACTGACCCTTTCCTATAGGAACGTCTGACCGCCCAAGAAGCCATGGCCCACGCATACTTCGATCCCGTCCGTGCTGATGTTGCCCGCAACAACAGCCAATCTTGAACTTAGTTTGCGTGTTGATGGCAATGGCTTTCCTACCCTCTATTCCCCCAATCCCACTTTCCCACTCTCCTTTCTCGCCCCCTCCCCTTTACCATCAAAACAGCACCCCCGGCATCCCGGACCCTCCTTTTGTCTGAGTTTGAGCCATGTCGACGTGAACGGTGCACGAAATGAGAACACGAGAAGGCGAGTGAATGACGCAACCACGGAAGCTGTTTCGCAGGCTTCCTTGATGAAATGTGGCTGCAATGAGTGATCGAATCCCAACCCGAACGGAGACGACGTTGATGACAAGACATGACATCTAATCTTCTTGGGCAATCCAGCCCTGCATCGCCTCGGCTGCGGGCATGTTAGTGAGCGCAATAAACCAGTTGACGTTTTAGAGCCGGCGGGGCAGTTGTTGTCTCCCATGCCTAATTGTATAGCGCTCCTTTTCCTTGTTTCTGCCACTTTCTTTCCTCCATGCTAGTCCTTGGTCCGGTGTTATGGCCCTTTTGAATTTGAATTCCTTGTTCTGAACCTAGTTCCCCCCCTCGTATTTCCTAGAGCTTCGTTAAAGCTTCGTATAAGTACCACAATCGTATGAATTACTTTTCCCATACCAATACTATAGCATACGTTATAGAACTGCAACTCAAGAGGATCGCCGGATCGCCCGTTGGCACCAGCGCCCCGGCATCACGTGAGGGCAATCTCTCTGAGCAACGAGACTAAAGACGACCTTCGCGAAGGGGCAATTAACACGAATAAAATACAGACCAACAGGCACAATTCAATGGTGGAACCATATCCGGTTTCCCTGCAGCTACCACTATCACTACAACGTCCAGCGCGCCCGCGGTCTCCACCGATCCTCTCTTGCGCCCCGCCCTCTCATTCGTCGTGGGAAATTTAACTGCCCGCATTTCGCACAACCACCCCTCCTTGTCGCATCTTCCCACTCCCCCCAAGATACTTATCCGGAGATTAGTGGCGCGATCGACGCCCTGGAGATTCACTCCTCAATATCGATCATTTGCAAGGATGGCTCAAAACTCTGCCTCCCAAGACCCCAGTGAGTCCCTACCCTCCTATGAGTCCATGAGTCACCTAAGTTACGAAGTACTCATACTGATGCGCCGCTTCATAGCTGGGTTGCAAAATCCCCCTCCGACCCAAACTCCTCAGACTGAGGCTGGACAAGATGCCTCCGCCGTTCCCAAGGTGAAGACCGAGAAGGAGTGTATGTTGGACCCCGCGGAACCTTCAATTGTCTTGTTCACTTGACAAGCCCTTCGATCTATATACTCGGATATCTTCTGACACATATGTTCGTTCCAGTGGAGCGTGAGCGCAAGAAGGCCGAGAAGGCAAAGAAATTCGCCGAAAAGAAGGCCAAGGCTGCCAGCCAGCCCGCCGCCGAGCCCAAGCCCAAGGCCGAGAAGAAGCCCAAGGTCGAGAAAGAGAAGACCACCGACGCATACGACCCCAAGGTTATTGAGGCTGGTCGTCTCGAGTGGTGGGAGGAGCGCGATCTCTTCAAGCCCGAGTTTGGCCCCGATGGCAAGGTCAAGCCCGAGGGCTCCTTCGTCATTCCTATCCCTCCCCCTAACGTCACCGGTTCCCTACACATGGGCCATGCCCTCACCAACGCCCTGCAAGACACAATGATCCGCTGGCAGCGTATGAAGGGTAAGACCACCCTCTGGCTGCCCGGTATGGACCACGCCGGTATCTCTACCCAGAGCGTTGTCGAGAAGATGCTGTGGAAGAACGAGAAGAAGACCCGTCACGACATTGGACGCCCCGCCATGACGAAATTGATCTGGGATTGGAAGGATATGTACCACGCCAACATCAAGAACGCCCTGCGCAGAGTTGGTGGTTCTTTTGATTGGTCTCGCGAGGCCTTCACCATGGACGCTAACCTGTCGGCTGCTGTTACTGAGACCTTCGTTCGTCTTCACGAGGAGGGCATCATCTACCGTGCTAACCGTCTCGTTAACTGGTGTGTTGCTCTGAACACTTCTCTGTCTAACCTTGAAGTTGAGAACAAGGAAATTGAGGGCCGTACTCTCCTCGATGTGCCTGGCTACGACAAGAAGGTCGAGTTCGGCGTCCTGACCCACTTCTGCTATGAGATTGATGGCACCAAGGAGCGCATCGAGATTGCTACCACTCGTCCCGAGACTATGGTCGGTGACACTGGCATTGCCGTCCACCCCACGGACGTGCGTTACAAGCACTTGATCGGCCAGAACGCTCGCCACCCCTTCGTTGACCGTCTTCTCCCCATTGTGGCCGATGAGGCTGTCGACCCCGAGTTCGGTACTGGTGCAGTCAAGATCACTCCCGCTCACGATTTCAACGATTTCACTCGCGGAAAGGCCCACAACCTAGAGTTCATCTCCGTGATGAACGACGATGGTACCTTCAACAAACACGCCGGTTCCTTCGCTGGCCTTAAGCGTTTCGATGCCCGTTACAAGGTCATTGATGCTCTCAAGGAAAATGGACTGTACGTCAAGTGGGAGCACAACCCCATGAAGGTCCCCCGATGCGCCAAGTCCAACGACGTCATCGAGCCCATCCTCAAGCCCCAGTGGTGGATGAAGATGGAGAGCCTTGCTGGTCCTGCCATTAAGGCCGTTGAGAACGGCGATATCATCATTCGCCCCGAGAGTGCTGAGAAGAGCTACTTCCGCTGGATGCACAACATCAATGACTGGTGTCTCTCCCGTCAATTGTGGTGGGGCCACCAGGCTCCCGCCTACTTCGTCAAGATCGATGGCGAGGACAACTCTGATAGCGATGGTGACTTCTGGGTGACCGGCCGCACCGAAGAGGATGCTCGCGTCAAGGCCGAGGCCAAGTTCCCTGGCAAGACCTTCACTCTTGTTCAGGATCCCGATGTCCTTGACACCTGGTTCTCTTCCGGCCTTTGGCCTTTCTCCACCCTGGGATGGCCCCAGAAGACCCATGATTTCGAGAACCTGTACCCCACCTCTGTCCTGGAGACTGGCTGGGATATTCTCTTCTTCTGGGTTGCCCGTATGATCATGCTTGGTATCAAGCTGACTGGACAGGTTCCCTTCAAGGAGGTGTACTGTCACTCTTTGATTCGTGATTCCGAGGGCCGCAAGATGTCCAAGTCCCTGGGCAACGTTGTCGATCCTCTCGATGTCATGGAGGGTATTCCCCTGCAGACTCTTCACGACAAGCTCCTCCTTGGTAACCTGGCTGATAAGGAGGTTGCCGCTGCTACCAAGTACCAAAAGAAGGCATTCCCCAAGGGCATCCCCGAGTGCGGTGCTGACGCTCTCCGCTTTGCCCTTGTCTCCTACACCACCGGTGGTACGTAATTCTCAATCCATTCCCACCACAACATGACGCTAACAAAAAATTTTTAACAGGTGGTGATATTGCATTCGATATCCAGGTCATTCACGGATACCGTCGCTTCTGTAACAAGATTTACCAGGCTACCAAGTTCGTTCTTGGCAAGCTGGGCGAAGACTTCAAGCCCCAACCCACTGCAGCCAAGACTGGCAAGGAATCCTTGTCGGAGCGCTGGATTCTGCACAAGCTCAATGCTGCTGCTAAGGAGGTGAACGAATCCCTCGAGGCCCGTGAGTTCTCCAGCGTCGCCATCACCACCTACCAATACTGGTACGGCCAGTTGTGCGATGTTTTCATCGAGAACTCCAAGTTCCTCTTGGCCGAGGATGCTTCCCCTGAGAGCCGGGAGTCTGCCAAGCAGACCCTGTACACTGCTCTCGATGGCGCCCTGACTCTTATTCACCCCATCATGCCTTTCGTCACCGAGCACCTGTGGCAGCGTGTCCCCCGTCGCCCCGACGACAAGACTATCTCTATCATGACTGCCAAGTTCCCCGAGTTCAAGGAGGAATTCCACGACCCTGCGGCGGAGACCGCCTACGAGCTTGTCCTGAACACCTCCAAGGCTATCCGTTCCATTCTGGCTCAGTACGATGTCAAGACCAAGGGCGATATCATCATCCAGACCTACGATGCGACCAGCGAGAAGACCATCGCCGAGCAGATGACTAGCATTCAGTCTCTGGGTGGCAAGACCCTGGGCGAGCTGTCCCACCTGGGTCCCGACAACAAGACTCCTCCCGCGGGATGTGTTGTAGCCGCTGTCGGTGCTGAGGCTGCCGTCTACCTCCGTGTTTCCAAGGAGGTTGCCCTTGAGCAGGAGGAGAAGGCCAAGGCCGGTTTTGAAAAGGCACAGGAGGCTGTTCGCCGATCACAAGGCATCATGGGAGGCCCCAACTGGAAGGAGAAGGTCAAGCCTGAGGTTCGTGCCGCTGAGGAGAAGCGTCTTCGCGATGCCGAGAGCGAGGCTGCTCGCCTGGAGGAGCAGATTAAGGAATTCGAGAAGCTCCGTCTGGAGTAAAATACGGGCGGATTGTACCCGGATAGCAATATAAATAAAACGCAATATGCAATCTTTCTCTTGTTTAAACATTTTGGCCATGCAAAACATCACGTAATAGTTGTCCATAGTCCCTATAAAATAGAGGATGTGTCTGCCTCAGGCCAGATTTGCCCCGGTCGGACTTATCGATAAGCAGTGCCAAGACCTGGCCCAAAAGTTTTCTGCGTTTTTTACTCCGAGTCTCCTCAAGAAAACCAACCCCCACCATCACAATGTTGCGCGAAGTGTGAGTAACAGCCTATTAACATTTCGATATTCTTCATCTGACATCTTCCCTGCAGTAAAGCCAAGAACCCGCGCACAGCGCGCATTCTCAAGGCGCGAGAGCCGCAACTCATCGAGCCCCCAAAGAAAACGCTAATTCTCCACGGCACAAAATGTCCCCAGGCACTGGACACCGTGCTGAAGACCTTCCACTCCCTCACAAAGCCTCACTCCGTCCTGTTCCACAAGAAGAATGAAAACATTCACCCATTCGAGAACCTCGAGAGCATGGAGTTTCTGGCCAACAAGAACGAGTGCCCTCTGGTCGTGTTCGGCAGCAGCAACAAGAAGCGTCCCAACTGCCTGACCCTGGCCCGAATTTTCAACTCACAGCTTCTCGATATGTGCGAGCTTCTTCTCCTGCCTTCTAAGGGCGATAACGATATTCCTCCCATCAACGAGCTCACCATGCACGTCGGCTTGGGCCTGCGACCCATGATGCTTTTCGCCGGAACCCCGTTCGAAGACCCGACTTCCTCATCTCACGCCATGCTCAAGACTTTCTTCCTCGACATGTTCAAGGGCGAGGAGACGACCGCTATCGATGTCGAGGGTCTGCAGTACGTTCTGATGGTCGGTGCCGAGGAGCCCCGTGACAACCTCTCTCCTGTTGTTCACTTGCGTTGGTACAAGGTTATCACAAAGCGCAGTGGCCACAAGCTTCCTCGCGTGGAATTGCAGGAGATTGGTCCCAAGTTCGACTTCAAGATTGGCCGTATGCGTGCCGCTTCAGCCGACGCTATGAAGACCGCCATGAAGCAGGGCAAGCGGCCCAACGTTGATATCAAGACGAAGAAGAACATCATCGTGGACTCGATCGGTGACAAGGTCGGTCGTGTGCACCTGGGCAAACAGGATCTTGCGGGCCTGCAGACGCGTAAGATGAAGGGTCTGAAGCGTCGTGCTGGTGTGGAGTCAGATGAGGAGGAGGAGGGCGAGAATGAGGATATGATGTCGGTGGATGAAATCTCGGATGATGAGGAGAGCCACAAGCGGGCCCGTACTCAGTAAGAAAGAGTTGGATCTACTTGCATTGTTGCGTATCTATTTTCAACGGCGTTTGGACCGGCTCCCGGGGTTTTGTGCTTTTGAGGCCTGTCTGCAGTGTATGTCATGTACGGCATGGAAAAGTATAGAAGCGCTGCTTCCCAAACTGTTTATCTAAGAAATGTCAATAACTATTACCAGACCTACTACAGTAACTACTAGTAACTACTGCTACTACTACTGTAGCCCTACCCAACTGGGTAATGTAGTAGCCACCTGGGCATCCATGGTCCACGTGACCCTGACGTAGCTCGGCAGGTCTCACATGCCTCGGTCCTTTCTCCAGGCGGTTCCGACGCAAACTGCCGTTCCCCTCCCCCATTCCATGATTCTCGACTTCTTTTCACTTCTCCTATTGAACTTCATCGACTTTCTGACTACCTACCGTGGTGTTATCCCCTAATAGACATCTTCGTTCGACAACGACCTCCAACCGAGGTCCCGCGGCGCTATGGATGCGCTTTTGGTGAGCAATTCCGCAAAGCGCAGCCCACATGCGAATGACAAGCCAGAGAAGCATCGTTAACACAAATTACACCATAGTCCCGCCTAGACGAACTCGTCCTAAAACCCGAATTCCAACCTCTTCTGTCGCTCTTCAAAGGCGCGCGCAATGGTGTCGTCTACGGATCGAAAGTGCGGTTCCCGCATGCCCTGGTGTACGTCGGTTCCACGGAAAGCAACTACAGACAACTGGATCTGAGACTGACCGGGGTCATACCTTATATCTAGCATGATATTGCTCTTTAGATCAGGATCGTACGTGTTTACACATTCCTCCCTATTTCCGCCTCCTTATATCCCCGCATTCCGTCCTATCGCGTTCCGCTTTCCCTCGGACTAACCAAGCCGAACCGCTATAGATTCCGACAAAAGATCAAGCTAGTCTTGAATGCCACACGCCTACATGCGCGAAACCTCGCCACGTTCGCAATCATCTATAAACTCTCCATGATCGTCTTGCGAAACCTCGACACCTCCGGTGCCGCGAAAGAAGGCCGCTACGATAGCTTCTTTGCCGGATTGATGGGTGGATATGCGGTCTTTGGCCGACAACGGGGGAGTATCAGCCAGCAGGTAAGAACCTCGGCCCCTCTCGGGGCATCGCTCTGCCGAGACTCGTCCTGGGAACTACATTCCTTGCGCAACGTCCTTCGTTCTTTTTTTTCCCTTTCTCTATGTAGTATTTGCGTTGCTAATAAACCCCCAGATCGTCATCTACGTCTTCGCCCGCGTGATGCTCGCTATCGGCAAACTCGCCATCCAACCCAACATGCACCCACTCTCATCCCTCATCACACCCGACGCCCGCGCAAAGATGACCGATAATGCCTGGCCCGTCTTCGCCAGCATGACTTGGGCCTCGGTCATGTATATTTTCCGCTGGTACCCGGATACCCTTGCCTCCAGTTTGCGGAGCAGTATGGTATACATGTATGTTGCTCCACGGCCCTTCTCAACGGCCAATGCTGTTTCTTCTTCCTTTTTACTAACATCGTGATTTAGTTATGCTGATTCGGATCACTGGGACTCATTACGGACACTGTTGCTACATAACAAATGAGCGCCCGACGCTTCCTGTTTGGCCCGGTGACTTCCTCATTTTCTTCTTTCATCCAGCTGGTTTTGGATTGTAACGGCGTAAAGCGTGGAGTACCTCTTTCCCTTCATTGGTCCGAGTCTGGTATTTTTAAGACTCGTTCATGATGTGCATTTCTGTTGATTGTTGATACCGCCGCTTTGTACTATGAAACATGGACATTGTCCATTGATTTTCCTTTCCCCGTTGTGTACCTACATTTTGCATGGAATACGATTATTATATAGGCTACGGTATAGTTTGAAATACTAGAAATATTCAACAGGTATAAGTGGTAGTATGTCATTAAAGATCTGATTGGTAGATCATTCGAATTGAGGTATCAGTAAAGGACTCGCAGTAGCTACTGGTAGTTGATAGTACAGGTTCAAGAAGAAGAGGGGCAATTAATTGACCAGGTCATTCGTCCCAAGGGGAGCTGGTGTTAGGTACGAGGCGCATCAACACACCAGACCCCGGAAGGGGATCCATCAGGCGGGGAAGGTTCCCCTATCACTGGAGACGGGTCCACGATGCCTCCCACCAGCAGTGGTAGAGGGTTTGGTTCATAAGCAGATAACATCACAGGCCGAAGATCTTTTTTGTCGATCGGCGAAATAAATGGTTCCATTTCGTAAGGGCACTCCTAGTGCTGGGTATTTCCCTCGATTTCGACCAAGACCTTCAAGTCACCGTCCATCCATTCAGTGGTCTCGGCTGTGAGAAGAGCGATGGTCCACTCTTTATCAGCTTGGACAGGGACGATACCCTGCGGTAGCCAGGCTTTGACTTTCCACGAAGCAAGCGTCTCTCGCGCTTGTTGGGTATTATGATCAATGCTGGCCGATCCATTGAGATTCGGGTAGCGGCGGAGAATTGCATGTTTGACCGTTTCGACGTCTGGACATTGGCCGGCGGGAAGGTCGAGGCGAGGTAAGATACGCTTTCCTTCCTGGACTATGTTGATTCGGAGGTATGTTTGATTTTGCGTACAAGGGTTATGTGTAGGGGCGGGTGAAGTGTTTGTAGTTGGCTGAGTGCATGAGGGGAAATGATGGTCTTGACCTTGCGGAGGGTTGTGGGTGCCTTCTCGAGAGGCAATGTTCTCTCGTATGATTCTCGACACATCGCGTGTAATACTGCTTGCACTGTTTGAGGTGTTAGTGATGATCATAACTGGTGCCAAAGGCTCCATGTTGAAACTTACAACTCATCTCGGGCTGGCAGACTGCGACCTCCACCAATCCGCCAGGATAGATCTGATGCAGTATTTGAGTGAATGATACGGTTGATGTTTCCGTCCTCGCACTCGGACGAACACTCGCTATGACCATTGTGAACGACATAGTAATGGCTATCAACCGCAGCAACCAATCCACGCCAATCGGGCTGTTGGAGGCCGGAAACAGACCAGAGACTATCCAGCTCGTAGTCTTGATTGTACATGTCATAAGTTCTGGCAATTTCATTCCAGTCGACGGTATACCCGTCCAGCAAGAGATCAGTCAGTCCAATTTCGACAGGCTGACCAGGGTCCATGGGAGGAGGCTGCGGAGCTGAGATCGAGGGAGGCGGAGGCATGGATTGACTCAAGCTCTCTGTGCGGTGATTCTGGCCGTGCATCTGAAGCTGCTGCTCGGGAGAATATCGTGGACCGCCCATCTCAGCGAAGCTTTCATCCGTCTTCCGACGATGTCGTTCATCGGGGCCACCTCCTTTGCGGGTTTCAATGGCATACTGGCGTTGTCGTTCATTCGTCACCATTCTTCTCAATAAAGGAATGACTAATGAGATGATCTTTTGAGAATCGCGTGGCCAGATGTATGTTCTCGGACCCATGCCCTCATTGACAACATTTTCCCCAAAGAGTCGATCTCCGTTACCCTCGCTATCCAAAAAGGTCCTTGCGCAATTCCATAGGCGCAATTTAACCATTTCGGTATCACCTTTTCCTCTTTGGCCAACGCAGTCGCGCCGCTCTGGGTGATCATCATTCAGCATGTAGGACTTGGCTGCGGCTTGAAGATGAAGGAAGTTTTCTGGAGATAGTTCAAGTGACGAAAAGAGCTTCGACATTGGAGGTCGCGTCTGCTTTTTGTTGGTCGATGGTTGGCGGAAAAGCGCAGCAGCGGAATGCACACCGACTGCGCGCGCCTCGGACAGGGACTGCGGGGGCACGGATCGAATATTCATGCTGTCACTGGAGTGTCCATGTTGGGTAGGTTGAGGTTGATAGTGTTGCTGTGCGAGACCCGCTCCGGCTAGTTGGGGATCTAGATTGTCGTCATTTCGCTTCCTCTTCTTAGAGACAGTGCGACTGAGACCGGACGATTGCGAGTGATCATTCGGCACTCGTAAATGCCTTCCTCCTCCCATCCCGGAGCCAAAGTGTGCATCACTAAAGGTGTCATCTCCGAGATGCATATCTGCGCTGTATCCGTCTAATTGATTCGATGCTGCGTCTGCGGTGGCAGCCGCCTGCGCCACTGCTGCCCATTCGTTGACATCGTGGTCTGCCGCGGCAGTCGCTGCTTCCACCAGGCCCGCTAAATGGTTGTCATTGGATGCATATCCACTGTTGGGGTCGACGTTTGAATTAGACGTTTGTGTAGGCATACCGGCCGAAGAAGTGGATATTATCTTAAAGTCGGAAGCCGAGTTAGACATGGCGCGGTATCGGAGGTGGAAAGGCAAGAATGTCTGGATAATGGTGTTTTTGGGAGTTAAAGAAAAAACCGCGCGCGACCTCAATTTCGAACTGCCGGGGCGCGCGACTTATTCTGTTTCCAGGGCGCTTCACGGAACCTGCTCAATAGACTCAAATGACTGTAGTTGTCGGGGAAGTAAAGCTCCGAATAGAGCGCGTGGCGCAAATTAATCAGCCAAACAGGCGACGGATGATGAGGCGGTTGGATTGGCGACGGAGGAAGGAGGTAAGCTGGGGATGATTGGAGGGAATCCTCTCGACTCCACGCCCCAAACGGGGGTGTCAATCGTGCTGGGGATTGAAGTGAAGTAGCTCGGGCGGAGCTCTGACGACTCCGGGCTGATAAGAACGCGACTGGCGACGGTGGATGTTTGGTTCGTTTGAAGGAAGGACAGACAGTGCAAACTTCCCATGCCACCTGCCTATCACGTGATTCTGTGGTTACATTGACGCACGTGATCCAGTTAATTGCCCTACTTTGGCTTTGAAATTAATGTCAACTCTATCTTGGATATAGCCTGTTCTATTCAGTCCATTTACTGCATTTAACTGACTGCTCAAGTCTCGAACAATCATTCTCTGCCATTTAGGCTATATGTACTACTAGTAGTTTCTCTCTCTTTCCAATCCCTCTCTCTAATAACAAACTGGCAGTCCCAAGGTTGCATCTTATTCTGTTCAACAATAATAAATTCAGAGAGAGATGAATACGGTCTTGTTTTCTAGCAGTGATTTTTCACCTGGAGGTATTTCCCAACTGCCTGTCGTTAAGAGGATTTGATCCCTGGAAAATTAATGGGCCGCACCGGTTCTTCTTGGAGACATTTGAGGGGTACAGGCTAAATAGAAATTTGAGAGGTTTAGATCCGTCAACAACTTTATGCAGTAGCTAACACCTATGATTCGCGTAGTATTACCAATATTTAATCTGAATTATCTATTAACGTGAACGACGAAAGGGTTATCACCACTCAAGGGGCCAACCTTGGAATACAATTCAATACATATACAGTTCGTTATTTGATGAACTTTTTCTGATAGTCTCGATCACGCAACTTCTTTGGCATTTCCTAAAACTACTATATTGCGGTGAAGAACAAAGGGCTCTCTAACTAAAGAACATCGCATCGATTGCTCGTTTGCATTCCTTACAACCAACGCTATACTCATCAGACAGTTTCCATGTGTTCACCTTTTCCTTCCTTCTCCATGTCGTCCTTCTCCTTTTGAGCAATCGTCAATTCAACTACGTCTGCCCGATCACCAACGAAATATTTTGCAACTTCTTCCATCGGAGTATATCTCGTTTCAACAATATATTTCCAGACTACAGAAACCTCAAATCCAAGAAAGCTGCAATAGAATAGATAGTACTTCCAGCCGATTGCGTCAAGAGCGAGGCTGTTGATATACTGGTTGAAAAAAACCGCCACAAGGATCACGAAGGAAGCTATAACACTACCTTTGGCTCGTAGACCATATGGCAAGATTTCAATCTGGTAGGCTGACAAAATTCCCGTTCTGTAGTTCATGGTTAGTAAATCGTTTCTTTGCTTCACTGATAGAATCTTACTTGAAGTTGTAAAAGAAATTGTAGCAGAATATCATGGCCACCACTCCTTTTCCCAGGCCCGGTTCGTCTTTGATCGAATAACGTGCGCTAAGAATGGACCATACGACAAAGGTGACTAAAGTTCCAATTGTCCCGATTAAGTACATTGGTCTGCGCCCTAGCATGCCAATCAAGAATGCAAAAGTAAGAGCGACAATGAGACCCCATGATTGCAATCCACCGTTGATACCAAGCTGGTCTTCGGCTTCAGTGATACCGATGGAATTCATGAAGACGGTCAGATAGTAAGATACAAGACCGTTCCCCGACCACTGACTGAAAAGGGAGAGCGCAGCAATAATACCGATACGTTTGCGATTTCCTGGCGCTCTTAGGAAGTCAGTGTATTTTGTAGTATTCTTGACATTGTCATCGATCATGAATGAAGTCCGAATTTCCAGATATTCCAACTGAATGAATTCATCTCGAGAGTTCCCATTTACTTGGTGGTATGCCAGAATTTCGAGAGCCTTTTCCGGTTGGTCACGGCTGATGTACCATCGGGGGCTTTCAGGGATGAACCAAATAAAACATAGAATAATTGAACTGCACAACCAGAAGAGACGGAAGACGCCAGGCCCAGTTGCTTGAGATCTTAAGAGTACCAAAGGTGACCCAGGAGGCGATAAATGAGCCAATTCCGTACGAAATACCCATAAATGTACATAAGATTGCACGATTTTGGGAGTGAGAAAGTTCAGCAACTAGCAAAGGCGCTGCTGCGGTTGCGATAACCATTCCAAAGCCTATCAAGAAACGCGACGCCACGAACATGCCGAGGTTGAGCGCACCGGACTGTAAGCCAAGACCAAGAACCACAATAAGCGAACCGACCACAATGCCAGATTTTCGGCCATATCGATCAAGCAGTGGGGGTATGAAAGGCAAACCAATAATGGATCCAAGGCTCGTTGATGCGTTGAAGAAGCCAAGGATGCTTCCTTTCGGATGGTCAAAGTATATTTGCCAGTAGGGCAGACTCTGGAGCCCATTAATCATTGACCCATCAAATCCATTTGCAACGTTGCTTAAGATAAGAATGCAGCAGTAGAAGTATAACTTGCGAAGGTGGGCATCCATCCACCATTTGACACGAGGATGTAGAGAATTGGCAAAGAAGAAATACCCTTTGAGAGGCTTCTGTGGTTCTGGGGCCTTCAGCTGCATGGTGCAAGAATTAATTTTCTTTTTTCTCAGCCAAGAAAAGTGACCTTTCCCATAAGTGCCCAGGTGGTGGTAAAGCAGAGGAGTTGATATACCCCATCTTTTCTCAGATCACCTCGCAGCGTATTCGTGCCATGGTTCTAAAGTCTCCGATCATTCATAGCATTTACAATGAATATATGCGGACTGACTTTAGGCTAGAACTGCCGACTATTATCTAAAACGTGCGTAGCTTTATCTCAAACAGTTTCCTCAAAATTGGGCTTGTCGGCCTTACGGCAAATTACCCGGGTAATGACAGGAATTATCAACTGCTGTTTTAAAAGAGGCGTACGCGTGGAAGGATCAATCCATATTTATTCCACTAACTCACATGTTCCGAATCTTCCGTGAAATCTTCTCCTATCCCCACCACTGCCATGGCTATAGTTCCCATTAATCCCATTATCTCGGGCTTTGCTCCTGATCCGTCCGTTGTTCAGTTGGAGGGAACCTTCTTCCTTGTGAACTCATCATTTCACATGTTTCCCGGTCTACCGATCTATGAATCTAAAGATCTCATAAACTGGGAGCACATTGGTTCGTCGGAAACAACTAGTACTACTCTGTGATATCTGCGGCGCATGCTGATGACGCCCAGGCAACGCTTTCAATAGACGAGAGCAACTGAGTTTATATAACTCCGAGGGGAGTATTGTCCCAGAAGGAGATAAAGGCAGACCGATCGTCGCTGCTGGTGGCTTATATGCTCCAACTATGAGATATAAAATGGCACTTTTATATCATCTGCACAAACGTTTCCTATCATGGAAAGGGGGCCGAGGAGGCACGACCCAACTTTCTTGTTTCGACGCGGGACATTCGGTCTGATCAATGGAGTGATCCCGTAAGATTTGATTTTGACGGGATAGATACTAGCTTGTTCATCGGTAGTCTAGTACAAAAAGTGTCATTCTCCCAAAAAATTGTGTGATCTTAATTCTGAAATGCTGGCCAATCCAGCTGGCCAACTAAAACGCAAGAAATAACAATGGTATAAATATACAGCCATTGAAATAGGAGCTTGATAGATCAGAAGCGCAGCAAAAAAACGCATCCCAAGTATAAGACAAAAGCAACAATGAAAGAGCTAGATAATCTAACTGTAGACTGCCCAATATGAAACCCATCTCAAACGCCAAAAAGTAAATGGTAGTATATAGCATATAGATCATGATGTTGTGTTCTGGAGGGAGACCGAACATGGGGTTCCAACAGCCAGAAGCTCTAGAAACCATCGCCATATTTCCAAGGTCGCCCAACTTCTTCGGCACGAAGCCTGGGGTCGTTGCCTCGGGCGACCGCGTTTTCCAATAGAGCTTCCACCTCCCGCGTTTTAGCAGCCAACGGTCTTTCATTTTCAGACTTGCCGCCTGGCGGAGGGATGTTCAAATCCATGGTCTCATCTAGGTCGCCAAAGCTTTTGGTCGTCTCAAGGTCTTCCGACATCCAATCGAAGTTATCAGCCTCAAGCTGCAACTCATTCCGCTCTTCCATCGCCTCCTGGAATGCTCTAAAATTGTCTAGGCCACCAAAACAGAATCCATAGCCATCACATAGACAAACGCTCTCATCCGGGCACAAGACCGGCTCGCCGGCGAAGACGTATTGCCAAAGATATTCCCAAATTCGCCCAGTTATATAATCACTCAGGGTAGTTTGCAGAAGCCAGTCACGGTAGAACACGAAGCGAGAGCGAGGGATTGTTCGAATACGCTCCTTTGATAGGGCGAATTGGGCACAGCAGGGCTGTGCCAGGACCGACGGGACTGGGTCGTCGGGGAAAATCTCGCTCCAGGCTCGGGCAAGCACGACTTCTTCCTGTTTTGTCTCGTCGGGCTCGATTTCGCCGGGGTGCATCCAATCAGGACACCCGGGGCCCTGACCGCAGCGGAGATTCATATAGCCTTCTCGGATCACGCGGTTTAGATTCAATCGCCTTACGGTCTCCGCAGTATCGCCGCCGAAGAGGTTTTCGTTGTGCCATGCATTCTGATGTGCGTGTACGAAGACCGAAACGTCGGGAAGGTCATCGTAGAAATCAATGACATAGGTCAGATAGATCATGACCTCGTTGCCCTTGTTCACAGGTGGGTGCAGGGGGGGCCGAGGGATCATTCGCGACGTAGATAGCCGTATCCCAGTCCGGAAGCTCCTCTGCGATCCAGCGGACATCTTCCTCTGTTGTGCGCGGCACGACGAGTCGTTTTGTATACTGCGTTCCGAGCGGTTTGGGAATTCCGGTGACGAAGTTTGGTCGTGGAACGTAAGGGTATGGTTTGTTATGACCGGTGCTGACATTATATGCCATTGACCAATTGGTACTGGCGCCGGAGCCATGGGAATTGGAGGGAAGATATTCTCCCAGGCCGATGGCCTGCGGGACGGACTCCCATGCGTGGGGTTGGCGCAAGCTGCGAGCTGTGAAAAAGACGAAAGTAAAGAAGCAGAACCCGAGGAAGAGAACCGCTCGCCGTGAGAGGACCATCGAAAGGGGTTGGCGGGATGGGTTGGACGCGGAGAATTATCTGTCCTACAGGGCAAACGTTAGCTGGGCAGTCCTGGCAAGATGCTAACTGTTGGATCCTGTGGTATGTGTGACAGGGCGCAGAAGCGATCAGGGTCGCGCGATTGACGTACACGTAGATCAGGGGTAAATCATTGCAGTCAACAAGGTGGCCTCATTGCAGGGCGGGAATGGGGACGTAAAGGAATGGAAGGGTCGATGAGATGGAAGCAAAGCACCGACTCAGGGAGAGATCACAGATCACAGATCACTGCTGGAGTTCACATAAGCTCCAGTCAGTCCCGTCCAGCCAATCGAGCCAGGAAGGGTCACCACCGTGGGGCGAATGGAAGGGGGAAAATGTGGTCGGCGGTGGATCGCCCACTGAGCACTGCCCGCTGATGACGAGTATTCCCATGGCCATGGCCCCAATCCAAGACTGAACCCAGTGGATTAGAAGCTTCACTGGCACCGGTTCAGAGATGAGATCCCTGCGGAGTACGGGGGATGGAGTATATACGCGGTCCTACAGATCTTGCAGCATAATGCAATACTAAAGTCGTATGGACTCGTCTCTTATACTACATGCATCCGTGCCTGGCCATCAGTTCCCACCTGCCAGATACTTTACTACGGAGTATCAGATAGATATTTCCACTACATTTCTACTACTCGTACGCATATACTAACTGAACAGTGAATACTATCCTAGATATACATCCTGTACTTGTACAGAATTGTGTATAGACTGACCAATCAGAACACGGCAGTTATCAGTCCATTATCTCACGTGACACCGCGAAAACCTGCGGCGCCGCAACCTCCAAACGGGAAATTTCTCGTTCATCTTGCTTCCCCAGATGCGCTCAGGCTGTCATGATGCAGTCTTCCAAGATCCAAGGTCGTCCCGCTGAAGAGGCCATCTCCGTCAAGGCTTCTCATGCCTCTCCCAAGAAATCCCACGACCCCTTAGCCCACCTTCTCGCCGGCGCGTAAGTTTTGATTTCCCCGTCGCCACGCGGCAACTTTTTTTTTCGGAAACAAAACATCAAGAAGCCCCAACATCGGACTAACTCATCATCTTATGTTTAAATAGGAGCGGTGGATTCGCAACTGCAATCGCAACTTCCCCTCTCGATGTCCTCCGTACACGCCTCCAATCCGACTTCTACCAACGACCCCCTGCACCTTCCGCCTCTTCCGCATCTTCCCCGATTCCCCAAATCACCAATGCCCAACACACAAACCACAAAACATCCCGGATAATTAGTAACATCTACCGAGCTGAAGGCTGGCGAGCCTTCTTCCGTGGCCTAGGACCCAGTCTCGCCGGTGTGGTCCCGGCCACTGCAATCAAATTCTACGTCTACGGAAACTGCAAGCGCATCGGCGCTCACATGTTTGGCTGCGGCGAAGATTCAACACTCATTCACGCGCAGGCCGCTATCTCTGCCGGCATTGCCACCTCCACCGCAACAAATCCCATCTGGCTCGTGAAGACTCGCTTGCAACTCGACAAGGCTCAAACAAGTACCGGAAACCGCCGGTACAAGAATAGTCTCGACTGTATCCGTCAGGTCCTTCGTCAGGAAGGTCTGGGTGGCTTGTACAAGGGTCTCAGCGCGAGTTACCTCGGTGCGGCTGAGACGGCCTTGCACTTGGTTCTGTATGAGCGTTTGAAGGGTATCTTGCAACGGTCACTCGTCTCGCCTGATGGAACGGATACGCCAACGCAAAGGGAAATCACTAGTTGGATCAGTACAACTGGTGCGGCGGGTTCTGCCAAATTTGCTGCTGCTTTGATTGCTTATCCCCACGAGGTACGTATTGAAAACAACGCACACACTCAACTGGCTCTGCTGGGAAGCTAGCCAGCCACTTACTCTGTCGAATTTTTCTAACAACTGTCCCTTTTTGCTACAGGTCATCCGTACCCGTCTCCGTCAGGCTCCTCTCGAAAACGGTCGCCCCAAATACACCGGTCTGGTGCAGTGCTTCCGACTCATCGCTAAAGAAGAGGGCATGGCTGGCCTCTACGGTGGACTGGCGCCACACATGATCCGCTCCGTCCCTTCGGCCATCATCACCCTAGGCGTGTACGAATTCGTCCTGAGACTTGTCGGCACATCCGAATGAACATAACGCTCTCCTCTTATGTGGGCTGCCACATTGTACACTATTATTGAAAGAAGCGGCTTTTCTATCATCTTGCTTTTGCTCTGGCTATTTTTCTGCGGGGCTGGTTATGCTGTTGCGAAACCTAATTGCATGTATTCTATCTACGGCGTTTGATATGGTGGGATCATCATACTGTTGCTTTTTTCGTGTTTTTTTCTTTGCTCTGGGAATTGTGGATAGAATCTCCTGTCTTGAATAACTGTATTATATATCATCTTGTCACTATCATCCAAAAGAACTTTCGACTCTTATCATTTTGTCCTGGCTCTCCTGTAATTTTATTAAAGTCCCTAGCATAGAATGACGAGGTGAGAGTCTTGAGGGCTGTGTATCATTTAGGGAAAATCTACATTGGTATAAGGGCTCAAAATGCCAGTGTGCCGCTCAGGATCAGATAGCAGTATCTTGAACATTCTTTATCCAAGGAAGCCCGAAACCTCATATGAGAAGTGGAGGAAAAGAAAAGAGAACCCGGGTATGATATTTTACTTCAAAAAACGCCATGCAACGCTGATCCAAGGAGAAGGGGCAATGCGATCAGGGGACTAGAGCTGGGAGCTCAGAAGAGGGGAGGGAAGTACAAAATTGGGGGAGGGGTATGATATCTATGGATTTAGCGGACGTTTTCGTCTGCCTCTTCCACGGTGGCTGCGCGAGCCTTGCCCTTTGATGCAGACTCGGAGTATGTGCTGCTTTCTTCCTCCGCTGCTTCCTTTGTGGGTTGGGCACCGCTGCCCCAGCTTGTTGGAATAGTAGATGGGCCTGTCTCTGGTATTTGCTCCGACTGTACATCGGTCCATTCTTGGGACGGTGAGTCTGCCCGGTGGTCCGCCGCCGCCGATGATCCATTTGGCATTCCCCAGTTGGGCAATGTAGGAGGTGCTGTTGACTGTGTCTCTGCAGTGGATGTTTCGGGGGTTGGAATCGGCGCGGTGCTTCCGGCGGGCTCGTTGCTGCTATTCGCGGGAGGCTGGTGCACTCGGGTAGGTGACTGTCCGCTCGGGAATAGGCTTGTTGTTGGTGTGGGGATAACGTTTTGCGGTGCGTTCTGACCAGTTTGCTCGTTGGGCTGCAGAGGGACAAGTGTCCAACCTGGCGGAAGGTTAAGTCCTTCCGGCAACCGGCTATCCCCAGCTGACAGGACAGAGGAGCCAGGCCCAGCCAAAAATTGACGTGCTGAGGTTCCTGACGGTCCAGGTTGCGGTGCGGTGGCTGCGGGAAACGTTGTTGGAACAGTGATATTGGCCTGTTCTTGACGCAGTCGATCTAATTCTAGTTGAAGGTTGCGCACATGGTGGAACTGCTCAGTGGCGGCACGCAGGGACATAATCTCTTGGGTTATCTGCTGCTCGATATGTTGCAGCTGAGTGTGGACGTCGGTGATGTTGGACGCTGGGGCAGGATGGTGTTGACCATGGGGTGTAGGCACGGGCGGACGACGACCAAATCCAAATCCAAATCCAATTTGACGTGCTCCTTGTGGATTGGCATTTGCCCCGGGTTGCAATGGCGCATTTCCTTGGTGGATTTGCTGATGAAGATTATTGAACAGATCTCCGCCACGTACAGCACCGAAACCGACCCGAAAAGGACCGAACTGGTAGACGCGAGCTCTGGGTGCTCCATCCCCTTGTGCACCCGGCTGGCCCGGTACTTGGTTTGGAGGAAACCCGCCAGCGCCATTGCCGGCGTTGTTAGCATTAGCACCGGCGGCTCCTCGAGCGGCCGCGGCCGCAGCACCAACCACTGGTCGCCGGCAAGTCAGGACAGTTCTGTTGTCGTTCCAGCCAGCTCCTCAAACACGAAAAGTGCAAGATGTGACCACAAGGGAGTTTCTTGGGGCGGAGACGGTCTGGAACACGCTGTGTGTCTGCAGCTGGTGGCGGAGCACCTTCTCCAGCAGCATCATCTGCAGCGGCGGCCGGCTGAACAGAAATCATCTCCTCGCGGCAAATAATGCAGACTTCTTCCCTGGCGACCTCCTCCGGGCTCGCATCCGGGTACCTCTCGTTCATGTCCCTGGTCGCATTGCGGTAACGGAGGAAGTCCATGATCCGCCGGGCAAAGGAGCGGATAGTAACAACAACGTCGCGCAAAATGTGAATAGGCAAGCCATAGAAGGTAAGGAGGATAGCAAAGAATACCAAATAGACTACGAGCTTCACAAAGTCGGTCAAAAGATCTAGGTAGAAGACCCATCTGCCCTTTTCCTCCCATCCGGGTACATCAATCTCAAGCTCATTGATATCGTTCTCATTGGGAAGGTCTGCGGGCGGGGAGCTTTCTCCAGCGCGCGCGTGCTCTCGGATTGCTTCCAATCTTGCTTCTCGGATCTCTGCTCGGCGTTCGTCCATCCTCGCCTTCAACTGTTGGCGGGTCACATAGATTTCCACCAATGCGATTCCATAGCGAGCGGTGGTGGAACTTGATAGGATGGTCAAGATTGCGAACTCAAATCCGAACATCACCATCATATCTGGGCGCGCTTGGTGTATAACCGTGTTGATGCAGTACTGCAACATGAAGGCATTGAAGAGAACCGACAACACCAACGAGGTGGCGAGGCGTGTATGAAATAATCGAGGGTTTGCCGGGGGCTGTTGCTCGAGATATTCGACCCGGCCTTCTCCAATCCATCCCCAGACCTTTCCAACCAGGAGCGAGATGAACATAACCAGAAACCAACCGCCAATCTCACCCCGGAAGATGGTCATGGCCAAGCATGTCTCGGTAACGGCGAACCACGCCCGCTCATATAATTGTTCGGTTTCGATGGGTCGCAAAGGCCCGTATAGAAGTCGCTGTAACCAGAAGAGAACAAAACCGGTCACGAGAAGACATAAATTCGTTAAGATCTAGAAGCGCGGCGCTCGGAGCGCGCGGTCAGCCACGTTTCGGGGTGGGACGACGGGGGTGACAAGCAATCAGACTAGACTGTATCAACTCACCATCAGATTCGCATTGCTCTGCGAGAGATATACGCATGCTGCGTAGAAGTTTGCTCTTTGGTGAAGAGCCTTCAAGAACACACCGGTGGCTAGGGCCACTGAGGCCTGTGAGCTGTTAGCAGGAGTCGTTCGTTGGGGAGTGATTTGAGGGGGCGAAGAGCGGAGAGTGAGAGTGAAAGGGCAGCTAGGCGGAGGGACAATACTTACCCCGGTGTAGGCGGCCAGTCTCATGGCGAATCACTGAGACACGAATTGGCAGGTCATCAGAGGAGAGAGGGGGACCTGGAAGGAGGGAGATGTGAGACGTGGAGTATGGAGTATAGAAGTAGCTGGGTAACTCCATCTGGACAGCTTTCCACTCTCCCACGTCTCCGCATATTACGTCAGCGGCACGTGCCCCAGCCCATCAGAATATCAGGCATCGACAATGACACATTTCTTGATTCAAATGAGCTTTTAAGTATCACTGGAGTTGGGGATAGGGAAAAGTATCCTGAGACTATATTAAATCACGGTTGAGTCTACAGCTAATTTGGAAATTACTCGTAGTTCTCGAAAATGGTTCTTCAATCGACGAATCCTCATCAAGTTCCAGAACCGGTAGCGGCAAGTTGGACCTGAAGAACTCAACATCTACCGTTATAATGGCAGTTCACATCCAATCAAACTCTGGGAACCATTGCCACCGCTCCAAATCTTATTGATCATAAGGCCTACCCTCGTTTCAAGGAGATTATACCAAGCTGTAAGGGTGCGTTCTTGAGCAGACATAAGTGTCAAAATGACCATGCCGAGTGCGGTAGCTTTCCAGTAGGCAGCTGTCTCCGGATAAAGTGCCACTTCGGTTTGTGTCAACATGGACCTTTGCCAATATCCTCGGAGTGGCCGACTCCACAGCCCCCATGCTTCGATCTATGGTCTGTTTTCTAGTAGAAAACCCTGACGCATTAGAAACAGTACGCGCCGAATTGCGGGATAAGCAAAGCAGTGACACCGGGCTCACTCTACCCTTTCCCCAATGGCATGAGCTCCAGAACCTCCCCTTCCTAGACGCTTGTATCAAAGAGTAACTCAGGCTCGACTCTCCATTCTCTATACCTCTTGAACGAGTTCCAGCAGAGGGAGCCACAATCTGTGGTCAATTTTATCCTGGAGGTACTGTAATTGACATGAGTCCCTATATCACTAACCGCTATAAGCCGACATGGGGTGACGATGCGGATGAGTGGCACCCCCGCCGCTGGTTGGAAGGCGAACCGTCGCATATCAGAAAGTTTGAAGCTAGCCTGCTTAGTGTAAGTCGAGCTTAGCCGATCTTCCTGGTATGCTCAATGTCTGATTGTAACAGTTCGGGGCGGGAACACGAGGTTGTTTGGGCCAGCACGTCGCCCTTTTTAAAATCAAGAAGTTTGTCACAGCACTCTTCATGAACTACGATGTGAGTACTTGGACATAAATCCAATGATCTATACTTACGATTTAGATCGATCTTGTCGAGCCTCGAGCGAAGTCCAATCCGTACTTCTGGGTCGTATACCCAGAGAGCGTGAGAGCGACAGTTAGAAAATGCGAACTCAGACAATAGGTTGGAAATATCCCAAAAGACTACAAGCTAAACTCCAGGGTAATTTCCGGTAGTGAATTGAATACACATTATGCTATGAACCTTAGACACTGTAACTCTAGGTTGTAGAAAAATCTCAAACTTTCAAAGGTTGAATACCGTTTCGTTTTCTGTGACTCTGTAAGGTTCAATGTTGGGATCATGAATGAAGCTCGTTTATCTGCCAGTGCCGACTAAGGCGGCATGTTGTAGGATTATCTAGAGACAAGCCTTCAAGACCAGAATCATGGATCAATCACGGACAGGTAGCCTATACTAGTATTTACCATCTACTAGTAGTAGCCAGCAACAGACACCTGGGCATGCATCAAAATAGATAGTAGTACTACAAGTATGTCGAAGCTGTAGAGAAGCCTGTCGCATACAGAGGAGCCCTGGAATATAATTAATTCAATCATTAGCTGTCCCAAAGGTCGCCCGATCGGGAAGAATCTCCACCTTGTTATCTGATCAGCACGTGACTCCCCGCGTTGGTGGCACAAGCTGAACTGAAACTCGCCGATCGTGATGGCCGCCTTGATTCTTCCTCCATTCTTCACTCTTCCATCCACGCAATGCGCTGACGACGGTGATGGCATCGTCTCCAGCCCTTTTCACCGCCTCTAGGAGGCAGACTCTAACATATCTGTTGGGTGTCTGTCCGTTTTCTATCGCATTCCTGGTCTTCATCAACTCATCCGTCTCTTTTGTGGTGACTGACCTCATTGGGCTGCACAGTGGCGAGGGCGACGCCGTCGGCACTCTCGGCTTCGCAGATGAGCTACTTGCACTGGCTGCTTGTCCTTTGTGGGGTGTTCTTTCCGACCGTATAGGTGTCCGCCATGTATGTTACATTTCTCCCTTCACACGCGATCTAAACATTGTCCATTGCTTACGTGGTGTTAGGTGTGCACTGTGGGGTATCTGATTATCGCGCTTGCGCTGGTTCTTTTCGTGCAGGCCACGAATGTCTACCCTCAACTTCTCCTCGGAAGGCTGCTTTTCAGTCTTGGTGGCTCGGCCGTGTCAACTATGGTCACAGCGGTCCTGCCGAGTGTGACGGGTAAAGCACATGCCGCCTGTTCATACCGCGCGTCCGTCTCATCTGAATTAACAATCACGCCTGAGCGATTGCGAGCTGCTGGTGGCGGATCCGGTACTTCCGTGGCCTCGCCTTCCGCTCGACTCTCTGGATTTGTTGGATTGTTCGCGGGATGTGGCGCCCTTGTTTCGCTCAGTGTTTTCTTGCCCCTTCCAGCTCGTTTTGAGAAGCTGGGCCTTTCGCCGGCCGAGGCAATTCAGCGTAGTTATTATTTGGTGGCCACCGTGGCTTTGCTCATCGGATTGGTCAGTTTCATCGGTCTTCGCAATCTTCCTGGTGAAGAAAAGAAGGGATGGAGTTCATTGTGGAAATGCGATTCCTTGGAGGATATCGACGATTATGATGATTCCAGGACGTCACCATCCAGGATGCCATACTGGAAACAGCTGACGACGGCTATGCTGCTCGGCTTCCGCAATCGCAGCATTGGACTGGGATATGTGGGAGGCTTTGTCGCCCGGGCTTCTTCGGTGGGGATTTCTCTGTTCATTCCTCTGGCTGTAAACCATTATTATCGAGTGTCTGGGCTCTGCGACGAGTTACATGAACCGACACCTGGTTCGGGACTAGGGGAGATCAAGCGGGCGTGCCCCAAAGCCTACATAGTCGCCTCCATCCTAACGGGGGTGTCTCAGCTCGTGGCTCTAATTGCCGCACCAGCGTTTGGGTACTTGACGGACAAGTCCCGACGCTACAACTTTCCGCTTCTGTTTGCGGCCCTTGTGGGAGTGGTGGGATACATGTCTTTTGGGCTCCTACCGAGTCCGCAGTACAAGGGGCCCGATGGCAGTGGTGGAGTTTTTGTAATCATGGCTCTGGTTGGGATTAGCCAGATTGGCGCCATTGTCTGCAGCTTGGCGGTGCTCAGCAACGGGATTCTGAGTGTCAGTATCGACGATGAGACTTTGCGGAAGATCTACCAGGAGCAGAACGGCTCACAGGGCGAGGGCGGGGAATCGGACGAGAATCAGTCACTGATTGCAGGATCAATTAATCGGCGGTTACAGCATTTGTCACATCTCAAGGGATCTATCGCGGGCGTCTACTCCCTGTACGGTGGGGCGGGAATCCTGCTGCTCACCAAGGTGGGTGGGCTCTTGTTCGACAAGTGGTCTTCGGGCACGCCATTCTACATTATGGCTATTTTCAATGGGATCTTGCTTGCGACAGGGATTGTGTGTGGTGTCATGAATCATGTTGCGCCGAGGATGGCGGTGGCTCTATAGCCCTGCCCTGCCCCTCACCCCCTCACCCCCGACCCCCCAACTAGGGGGTGCTAATGACGGAGTATTGGGGCCAAAAATTGAGACTTTTCATGCTTCTGTTAATGTTGGTTTTAGCGACCTAGGGTATGCGCCTATTCATAGCGTGGTTTCAGGATGCGGCAGATGTAGGGCAGCAAAAAAGAGCCGATAGTTATGATCAAGTATACATGTTCCTACAAGGCTCAGCTCAGAGTACTACTCGCATGTAGTAATTGTACTCCGTACTCCGCGTTGTCAGAATCCAGGGGCAAGCCACATCAATATTTAATCTAAACTAACGTGGTCATTAATTAAATCGATGAACTGGTGTGGCACCTAAACACCCCCGGAAAAGCGGGCCCAACTTGGCCCGACTTGGTCCCGACTCTCCTTTCAAGTTCGAGTTTGCACTTTCTCTCTCCCTCTTCTCTCTCCCTCTCCACCATCCACGATCTGGACTCCTCTAGACTCTCGATGGACCTCACAATGGACCTCATTTTACGCCGATCTCTGAATGGACAACTCGCAATGGAGCGCAATTTCGCCTGGCGGTGATGATGAGCGACCAACCCATTACCTCTTCCAGTCATAATCAAGCCAACCCTGGCTCTGACCGGCGTCTATACTCGAGAGAGTCTAGCGCCCCCCCATTTAGCTTCAATTAGCTCTCGCCCCTTTTCCACAGCTGCAGCAGGAACAAGCAGGAACACGGCACTAGAGGCTCGTCGACTCCACCTGGTGCCCTGTGAAGGGTCCGACTGGGGAACCCCTGGGGCCTGTTCCTGGGCCTGTGCCTGAACCGTTCCCTCTAGTGTTGCCCGCCATCACACACACGGCCCCAATCACCACGATGCGAGGCCAAGAATTACTCGTACGGAGTAGAGCCAGCAGGTTCTGCCCCATGCCAAGACGCACTCGCATTTGGCCCGCTCTTGTACTTTTATGAGCGTATCGCCCCGGACCCCCGGTCTCTTTCTCTCTCTTTCACGCTGCACACTCTTCACTACGCCGGGCGCTTCGCTGCCTTTACTTTCTTTAATTCAGTCTTTCTTTAATACCGTCGCTATTCTCTAGTCGACTTTACTCCAAGTACTGTGTACCCGTCACTCGTTCAATCATTCATTCACATTCTCTCAATATGCGCTTCCAAACTGTTGCTATCTTGGCCGGTGCCTCTGCCGTGTCTGCCGGTAAAACCGCCAACCTTCTCCTGCCCGGTTTCCAGGACCGTGACCTCGAGTGCGGTGTTCAGGGCTCGGTATGTACATGATTCTCGGTGATGTGGCGAGACGCGCGAGGCGATTCGGACTTGTTGTGGTCTATCGCGAAGTCTTGTCGCATTGCGAAAGATCTATACCCGAAAACATCCGCTAACAACAAACAAACAGAGCGGCGATGCCACCACCTACTTGGTGACTTGCCCTACCAGCGCTTCCGCCTGCGGTATTCCCGGCGCAGGCATGACTGCCATCGCTGCCCCTACCTCTGTGCAGCTGATCAACCCTGATGGCAAGGGCAACACTGCCTCGGTCTCCTGCAACGTTGCCGGCACTACCTCGGCCTCTTGCGTGGCTCAGGACGGTACCGTCACTGTCTCCCACACTCTGGGCCCCAAGGACCTTAACTGGATGGCTGTCACCATCACCACCCCGACTCCCACGTCGACCCCCCACTCCTACTTCCACCGTCACCCCGACCCCTACCTCGACTTCCACTTCGACTGTCACCCCGACCTCGACCTCCTGCCCTGTGTCGAGCCCCGTCAAGTCATCCACTCGCGTGCCCTCTTCCACCCGTCTGGCGACCTCGTCGGTCCCCCTCAAACCCACCGGCGGCGTCGTCACCGGCACCCCGGCCCCCACTGGTTCTTCCGCCGCCACCCCTCTCCCCAACGCCGCCGCCCCTCTGGCCGGCAACGTCTGGACTCTCGGTGGAGCCGCTCTGGCCCTGGCCTTCGCTCTGGTCTAAGCTCAAAATAAAGCGAACAGCCTCCTCCCCTTCTTTCCTAGTGTCTCTTGGGTGCAGTGGTCGCGTTTTTCAGCATGTGCCCTAATCTGCGATGCTGGCGCGATATTGGTTTTGCAAAGTTACTTTTACTTTAGGGTTCTGGGTAACTAACTTCTAATGGATGGATTCATTGTGTCCTGGCATATATGTATTCATCTTTAATTATTTAATGATTGATACCTTTCTCCACGACAGCATGATCCAGCGTGATTCCTGTATTTTTTCACCTCTCGTGTATACCTATACCGAATTTATATATTTGCATATTACAACTTTTGGAGTTCTATATCTATCCTTCCATGTAGTAGTAGTAGTGGTGGTGGTGGTGGTGGTGGTGGTGCCTACCTAGTGCTTTCGGATACTCAAACGACTTTGGAAGTATCCCTCCAGGGCTAAGCCTGCCAGTGAGTCTATCTACTCATTCTCCCTTACCAGCCATAACCTTGTAATTGAACATGGAACCCCACCCAACACTAGCTTACTCGGTATACGTAGGGCCAAAACAAGCGACACTGACGCGTCATCGTGTCAACTACTAGTATTCAAATAAAAGCAATCCTGAAATACATACAAGGAACTAGCAAGGAAAGTCATTCAATAAAAATCCCTCCAAAAACTTGAACGACAGTCCTCATCAAATGCAAGGTCAACCCCAATACAATAGACGCAAGGACCCACCCCACTTCTGTCACTTTGCCATGCGTATGGCGTCGGAGTACATGGCATACTCGGCAAGATACATCACAACCGGTCCGTGCGATAGTTATTCTTTGGATGTACATCCATCCGTCCTTGCATTGTCGATCATCCGCCACCGCGTGTGGGATGGATAACTTGATCTACGTCAATATTCCAAGGTTTGTTGGCGGATTTCTTTAACTTGGTTCGTTTGTTGTATAGATATTCTGCAGCTATTACTCTTGGAATGTAATTATTAGTTTGGGTGAATAGTACTATACAGACCTCGGGATTAGTGGTCTTTATATGCTTCTTACTAGTATTAGTAATACGTGGTTTGATACTAGTTACCTTCCAAAGTTGTGCTCCTTTTACTCTACCGACCTGCTCAGTACCATGCTACAAATCAATGGATTACTACGAGTCAAATTGTTTATTAAAGACGCGTTCATTCAAAAAAATTTCGGACTTGGTGAGCTAGATGTCTTTTGAGTACTCTATAGTCTCTGTTATGCATGTTTTGCATTGAGTCTTGAATATTGATCAGTCTCTGACTCTACATCCCTAACCATGTAGCCAGTCGCCGCAATGATCAGCTTTGACTTAATCCCAACGCCAAAACAATGCAAAATAAAAAGGAAAGAACGCTTAAAGGCACCGAGGATGAAATGCAGATCAAACAAGATCGTAGATCGTTAAGAATAGACTGAATTTGACATCCACCTCCCAGGGGAGAAAAAGAGAACAGTGAAAAGAGAAAAGGAAAAAGGAAACTTAATCACCCACGCTACCGCACCTGGAAAGACGAGCCCGAGAAAGTTAAACAATGACTAGGCAAGATAACCACCCTTTCGGCTCGGTCAAGATTTACTCGAAGGAGAGACTCTCTTCAGCAAAGCGATCACGCAAAGTCGCCATGAGAGGTGGCTTGGACCAGAAAAACCAAACCCCTTGATCGGTCCAGTTTCCCTGTTTGATTTCCGGGCACAGTGTGATATCGAAGTGCCACAGTAACTTGCAGAGAATGAGTCTGATTTCCGCATAAGCGAGGCTAATCAAAGTTGGACTGATGTCAGTAAGGTTCTTGTCAATTTTACAGGAAATGGAAACGAGAACGTATTAGATACCCTTTGCCGAGGCACCCGCGTGGTCCGTAGCTGAATGGCTGCAAAACATCTTTGCTATCCCCGTTGAAACGGGCGTCGGTTCCGAGCCATCGGTCTGGGATGAATTCGTCGGGTAAGGCAAAATTCGAAGCTGAGCGGTACGATGCATAGTGGTGGAATGCGACCTTGGTCTGGGAAGGAAATCAGCATTATATAAACTGGCTCAAGTCAACCATAGAGTATACGACTTACTCCTTCCGACACGTAATGACCATCAACAAGCGCCCCGCCCTTTGGGACAATGCGACATAGGCTCGTTACGAGAGGCGGATACATGCGTAGTCCCTCTTCGATGACAGCAGAGAGATATTTCAGCGTGGCGATGGTCCGGAATGTCATCTCTGTCTCACTCTCGAAGGAAGAGCGAATCTCGTTGACGAGCCTAGTCAGAGTCTGTGGATACATGCATAGATAATAGATGCAACCGGTCACGCATGTCGCCGCGGTCTCGCTGCCTGCGATGATAAGACTAGATAAGCATCAAGCAGATTAGTATGTTTCTTTCATTTGTTTCCAAGGTATTCCGCTTGCATACATGAATGCATTCGAGTGAATTTCCGCTCGACTCATGATTTTCTCCCCATCACAGTACGGGCCCTTCTTCTCGCTCAGCCCATTTTTCAGAATAGCGGAAATGAAATCGGGTCTCGAGATGTTAGCTTCCAACCGGCGATCCACCTTCTCGGCAGTCAAATTGAAGTGATCTTCCGCCTGCTTTGTGTACTTTGACGGCGTCAATGCTTCCAGAATTGTCTTTAGGATGGGGAACTGCGCCGCAATCCCGACGACGGAAAGAGCCTTGATTGAGTTGGCGAGTAGATCGATCCACGGATGCAGCCGAGTGTCTTTCAAACAATCAAATGACTCGCCAAACATCAGATCCCCGGTGATATCAAAGGTCGTGTAGTTTAGCCAGTCACGGAGATCGACGGGGTGTTGCTGCGATGAGGTTTCGTCCTCTACGTCGGCCTCTTCCCGCAACTTGCATATCAAGGTATCAACGTAGCCCTGAATAAGACATTCCTGCTCTCTAAGTGCTCTTTCCGTGAATGCAGGCGCGAGAAGGCGTCTTTGCCGCGCGTGTACACTATGGTCGGGTGTGCTAACGACATGGTGTGCTCCATTCGGCGGCATGAAGTAATGGGACGGGTCCTTTTCGAAACAGCCGCCGGGTCTCTGGCCGTAGATATCATGAATAGACCGTGCGGTACCAAAGGCGAGCTCGTCTGGACTAATCCGGACGACGGGGCCATAATTCTGAAACATCTGGTAGACATCTAGATGATTCGTGCCCCGGACGACGGAGATCTGCAGGGGGATGCGGGAGATGGCCCAGAGCTTTGGGCCCGGGAAGTCACTGAGTGGGGACCAATAGAGCTCGTAGAGGATGGAGAAAGCAACCGTGAGGCCAAGCTAGAAGCGTGTGCGATGACTGGGTCAGCATGCGATGATACGGTAGAACCAGAGTGTTGGGATACAGGGGGGGCTTCTCGGAAGGTGTAAGAGGCTTAACTGGGGTGGGGCAAGATGGATGTAGGGTTCTGCAGCTGCAATGGAATGGGGGTGTACGAGGAGCACAACTTACCAGGACTCCTGCAGACACGCTCCAGATGGGGAAAGTTGAGGTTTCCCAGGATGAAAACATCATGAAGTATGAATGCAGAGTCGAGATGAGACCCCTCGTGATGCTGGACTGCTCGTCCATGGAGTATTTACTCCCAGGTGGTCATTCATCTGGGACGAGGATGAGGCCTCAGACCGTGTTTCTTGGTTGCGAGGCTGGAAGGTAATTGGATATGAGACTGTGGTAGCCGAAGTAACACGGAGATATGTCAGTTGGAATGAAAATGTTCGGACAGCGGCAGTAGCAGTAGCAGTAACTGAGTTGGAGTGGAGAGAAGACGGAGAGAGGAAGAGGGGAACAAAGAAAAGAGGAGGAGTGACTGCCAGGTGAGAGACAACTTCAACCCCTCCCCCATTTCTTCTATCTTGCTATCTCGTGATGATACTAGTTCTTCCCCCTACTTCTTCTCCTTCTTCTTTGAATCTGATTCTACTATCTCATCTTCACCCATTACATCCCATCTCATTCCTTCCCATCCCCATCCCCTCGACATCCAATGAATACTCCGAGCTTCAGCCCAATTGCCGACTCGCCTAATCCTCCTAGGGGAACCATGGCTTCCGAACCATACACAATATGCAAATTGCAATACGTATGCACCTGGGGATTCCTCAAATCTCTCCGTACTCCCGCAAGGAATACCTGGGTTTGATGATTTGACCAACCAAGCACCCGTGTAAAGAGGGCCAAAGAATACGACTCGACCGCCATGAGCAATGAGCAGAGATTATACCGACCGATCTGTTTCTGAATAGGATCATCATGCCAGGCACTAGAGGGAACCTTATCCGAGCACCGGGTGAAACAAAAGGTCAGTTGATAGCAAGAAATCAAACAGACACAAAACGGAAAAGGTAAAAGGTAAAAAGAAAAGAAAGCAAAAAGGAAAAGGGAGGCCATCCGGACGAATCAGATCACCCACACTGGTCGTACCTTGTACACCTCATCCCGTACATCTTCAAAACCCGCCTCGATCAGCCGCTGCCGGTGTCCCTCGGCGATATTCATGGGCCGGTGAAACGCCTCGCTGGCCGCATGCAGCTGACCGAGGAATTCGCGCAACGTCGGTGCGAGATGCAGCTCCTCGTCATCGTCCGACTTGAGCGTCACTTCGAATTCTTGTAATTCGACCCAACCTCCAGGACGCAGATGTTCGTTAGCCTGGCGAAGCAACCGAGGCCAGTCAGCGATTGCGCCGCCCAAATCACGCACATGGATGAAGTCGAAGGGCCTGCTTGTGCTGAATAGCCAGGGTGATTCGGCGTCGTCGACGATGAATCGTAGATTGGGCGGGACCCAGGATGGTTGGATGGGGCTGAGGTCTGTGCCGACTACTTCGGTTCCTGGGTAGCTGTCTGCGAAGTCGATGGCCCAGATTCCGGTGCCAGTCCCGATGTCTAGGACTCGTTGTATATTTTTGCTTATCGGGGCGCGGAAGAGGTCGCAGTTTAATACGAGGTTGCGGACATGGTGAAGGAGGTCTTGTCTGTCTTGTTCGGGTTCGTCGTTGGGGAGAACGTAGTGGCCTTCGCGGTAGGAGTGATATCGTCGGCCATTCTCGTAGCAGTAGTCTTTCACGTCTGATAGGAGTGAGGCTGTATGACTGGAAGTGTCGGAATGATAGTCTTCATCGAAGACTGAGCTATTTTCGCCGTTCGTTGATGCTGCCGAAGATGTATACCCGGGGTCATCTGTATCAACCTCATTTGGCACCAGGCCTGACTGTAGCTCAAGCGCTGGTTGGTAGAAGGAGATCGGGTGAAATTCCGAGTGGAGTGTTGTGCCGACTGGTGTTGATTCTATTGTTGAAATGTGCTCTGCTGACGATCCTATCCATGTATTATCTTCTGCCGAATATTCCGTAGTTGACGAATCCGAAGTAACTTGGTACAATGATAGCGGCGCAGAGTTGGCAGTCGTTTTCCTTTCTCCAACACTATCATTCTCGTATACCATTTCTTCTGGAATTGGATCCAATTGAGAGAAATCGGTGTTCTGTTCAGGGTGAATGTGAATATTCCCAGATATCGGCGTAGGTTCAACGCTGACACTCAACTGAGGTAAAAGAACAAGTTCAGGTACCACGCCCGGAGACTCAACTAAACCAGACCAACGGCGCGAACCCCCGAAAGAACCTTGAAATGACAAGGACTCTTCTTCGCCGACAACGGGCCCACCTTCAAGCTCACCTTCCGACACATGCAAAGGCTGAAGTAGCAAGGGCGATGGCGAAGAACAAACTTCTTTCGGACGTGGTTCAACGCCTATGCATCGATCACAACGTGACTCCGGCTCCGTCTTCGGCCCCGACGACGACAGCGAGTCGCCCTCGAGTGAGGTAGATGTAGCAGCGTGTAAGAAATCCTCAACAGCCATGTCGTCCGTGTCCATCTCGGAGTCGAAATGAGCAGTGTCAGGATGCATGGCGGAAATATTCACGAGCACAGGAACTTGTCATTTCTGCAAGACAGGATAGAAAGAGAGGGGTGAACGAATGCGAGGGTTAGTTGTCCTGTGCCTCTTTACCCCCGGGTCTCACGGTAATGTTCGAGTTTCTCTTGTGTAGTGCAGAGCGGCCTAACGCGATTGGTGTAGCAATTCGATTCGGCAATTGCGAGGAAGGAAAAGTGTCAGTTCCAACCCCGTTGTATTGAATTGGACCTTCCAGAGGTAGTTGTATTCGGCTGTCAGCTTTCTTTTTCTCTCTCTTTTTTTTCTTGTTGAAAAAAAAAAGCTTATCGATACTGTGTTTTATGAATCCACTTGGTAAGATTATGATGACCGAAGGGCATTGTGCCGACAAAACGAAATTCAAACAAAGGTGAGCATTTCCAATTCAAATCCGAATGGATCGGAATTGAATCGCAGGTCTTGTATTTCCAGCTTTTCCTCGTAAATGCCTGGGTATTAATGTAATTCAAAACACGCGGCGCAACAGAAGAGAAAAGAAAATATTGGAACAGCTCAAGACCCCACCCGAACCGGATAAAGGAAGTGAATATTGGAGGGCTTTGGTACGGAGACGGTTCGTAGAAGAATCCACCCAAGCCAGAAACGTTCTTTGACAGGCGTGACGTTTTTTTGGGCGTCCATCCAATGGGGTTTAGGGTGTGACGAGGATGAAAAAAATGCCCCGAATTGAACTGGTGACCGACGAAAATCACGCCGAGGACTGCTTTTTCATTGTCCGTGCGATCGCAGATTCCGGCAGATTTGATCCATAGCAGCGCTAGCTAGCCAGCCAGCCATAGCTCTAATTCGATTCTCGCTCCGTTGTGTTCCGCCTGCCGTGGAATGTATCATACTTTCTTTGTTCTGGGTCAAGCGAGTGTTGTTTTTGCCCATTGTGGGATTTCAGGGGTTCTGAAAGGAGTAACCTGACCATGTGAAACTAAACTCATTGAAGTAAGTGGACAGTTTTTTGATAGGGGTTGGGGTTGGCGTCTGCGTTGGGTGACAAGACGGCGTTGTGAGGTCGACCGTCGCGCTCGGGGCGTGCAGATCATATCAGATCGGATCGTGTTGTTTAGGTTTAGGTTTGGTTTGCAGAGCTACCATACTCCACGCAGCGTTGATTACTGCCTGTGATCAAAGATATCAAGGTTGGATTTTAATGTTCTACTAGAATGTTCGGAATCCGTTCATTTCGGGTATTATTCATGCCTCATTTCACTCATTCACGTATAGCTCACTGGAAGAGACCTGGCTTAGCTATCTAACCAACGAGTCCACCACCCCGACGGTAACCGCCCGGCCCTCTTCTTGCACTTGAGTGTGACTGCCGTGGGCCTTGTTCGGCGTCACCTTCTTGAATTTCCAGCCCAGCATGTAGGACAGCAGCACGGACGATTCGCAGGTGCGCTTCCTTGTTGAAACTGCTCAAGCTGTCTAGAGTTTTTGTCTGGACCTCGGTTCGCAGATCTGTCTGGTTGGAAACTAGAAGACCTTTCTCGAGATCAATCCGGGTATCAAGTACACCTTCCTTGATAAGACGAATGAGTTCTTGTACGAAGGATGACTTCAATTCGGTTGGTCGGGCCTCGCCTCCAACCACGTCCGGAGCGAAGATAGCCGCCATCGAGTCGAGCGTCACGCAACTAAATGGAACCAGATACTGCTGGATAGCCTTGGTGCGGATCTGAGTGTAAAGCGCCGGGACGTGGCGTTGGAGGTTGATATCGAGGAGATAGTCGGTGCGGTAATTCTCCAAAATATCGAGACAAGGGCGGAACTTGGAATTGCAGAAGAAGGCAACGGCTCGACGAATATGCGGCTCTAGTTCGAGGAAGTTTCGAAATGATGGATTATCCAGCACCTGTTTCTGAAGTTCTTGACGGTCCATGGAGGCTAGGGCGCATAGGCCTCCATAAGCGGCAATGTCATTTGGTGTAATAATCTCGCTGAATGAGTCGCCCAGAGAGGAGTCTACAGCGAGGAAGCTCGTGGCTGCATCGCGGAAGGACTTTGCATGCATCTGCGATAAGCCCAGGGCAGCTAGTATCTTAGGTTGGTTTTTCAGGAGATCTTCTGGTTTCGATTGAGAGTTGCGGAGTCGGTGGACGTTAGATTGCACGCCCATCCAGTCTCCGCGTTCGGCGGACACGTTAATCATCTTGAATAGCATGGAGGCGATGTGGTTTGGTGTTGTGCAATAGTCTCTCATCCGTGAGTATGCCTTCGATGCGGCGATAAGGTCTCCCGTTTCATAGTAGTGGTTGCCCAAGTCCTCGTTTCCCATCTAGTGAGTATTGTCAGTTACCGATACTTGTAGCCCAGGCAAGATTTCCATACCCGGATGCTTTCCTTGATCAAATTATTCTTATATCCCCGCAGCTCATGTTCCAAGCGTTCGCTCTGGGCTCTGACCGAGCGCTGGATATCCGAGACCCAAACAGAGTCGAGGGTGGCATCTTGCTCACCCGGGGCTACCTCCGCCAGAGCACGAACTGCTTTTTCATATCGTCCAACATCCTTCCCAGATTTGGCCTCTGCGACAGCGAACTTGAGAGCATCGACGGCAAGGACAGTGGAGGTGTTTCCGATAAGGTAGAGGCGGTTAAATCGAGTCCGACCTATTCCACAGCATTAGAAATGACTCAGCGAGCCTGCAATGCTCCAATAGCATACCTGTGTAGTTGGCAATGTATGAATCGAGGTCCAACTTGGGGGGGGGTCTGCCAGAAATTAGCTCTCGGTCCAGCTGCAATGGATTTGGGGTAGGTGTCTGCGGGGGAGCGGTGGGGGAGCAGCCGCCGCGTGAGGATCAACGCACCATCCACCTTTACAGGCTTTGTAGAAAGAGACTCTCCGAGCGGGCCAGTACCCGAGCCCAAATTTGGAGGCGCAGCTGAGGAGCCCATCTGGGCCGGAGCAAAGGCATCTGGTATGGTATCCATCCTACGCAGCCAGGCTTTTTGGTGGGGGCTCAATGGGTCAAGGAAGCCGGGGGTGCTGTCAAACGCGAAAACTGGTCAGATAAAGTTATTAAGCAGTTAAAAAGGGTTTCCAAGAAGAGGTAAAAGAGTTGTGACAGGAGGTGAGCTTGCGTGAAATCAAATGGATTGTTGTCGTGCATCTGGCAGGCTGTAGCAAGGCAGAATCCCACCGCTCACCACACCGCACTTGGCTCGGGAATCGATATTCCTGCCTTACTGCCTTACTGCCTGAGGTGTCCAGGGTAACCTCCGAGGTGCGATTGGGCCGAGGATGATGTGAGTAATCACTTAATTCAAATCATCCATCTACGGCGGGGGACCTCCAGGATGGATTCCACCTTCTTTCGGACCCAGAATTAATTGATTCTATAATCTCGGCTTCAGTAAAGATTTTGCCGACAACTCATATAAATAAAAGCCAGGCTAGTACATGGCTCTAACGATCACGATATCTACTCCGCATCTTGAATATCCCGTTACGCAGAACACTGTGACTGTCACCTAAAAAACTTGAACACTCGGGTCTTCTCAAGCTTCCAAATTTGGGATAACTCCGCTCAATATGCCCTCTTCTCAACAACCTGTAGCCCTCATCATGGGCGCCTCTCGAGGCATCGGCCGACAAGTCGCCGTCGACCTATCCAAGAACGGCTACGCCGTAATGCTAGCAGCAAAAACAACCTCAGACGCCAGCAAAACAACCCCATTCCCACCAGACCCAAACTCATCATCCTCAACCATCAACACAGTCGAGCGCGAAATCCGCGAAGCCGGCGGACAAGCAGGATCCATCGCCGTCGACGTACGAGACGCAACGCAAATCCAAAATGCCATTGACGAAACAGTCCGTCGTTTCGGAGCACTGGACGTCCTGGTCTACAACTCTGGGGCGATCTGGTGGTCTTCTGTGGAGAATACGCCTCTGAAGCGATTCCGCTTGATGCAGCAGATTAACCCCGAGGGCCTTTATGCGACGGTTCAGGCTGCTTTGCCTCATTTTGAGAGGAATGGGTGGAAGGGCCGGATTGTGGTTGTTTCGCCGCCGATTTATTCGCGCTTTTTTAGGGGAAAGACGGCTTATGCTATGGGTGTGTATATCATATCTTAACAACCCGCCACTCATGGCTGCCTACTTTTAGTTCTGGCTGTTTTGAGTGCGATTATGGCTTCTTTGTGAATTGGTGCTAATTTGTTGCTTTTTAGGCAAGGTGGGCATGAGTGTGTTGGTTAAAGGCCTTGCTATGGACTTTGTTCGTCAGGACCGTAATCAGATGGCGATTACGGGTATCTGGCCTGCGTCGGTATGTCTTTTTATCCTAGTTTTTCTCTAGTTATTGCGAGACTAACTTATCTAGTCCATTGAATCAGCAGCAACAGAGCACAACAAATCATCTGATAAGTCCTACAAGAAAGACCTTAGGAAACCGGTACGTGCACACCAATTATGCGAGGATCTCTGCTGACATCAAGTAGACAATTTTCTCCGACGCAATTGTTGAGATGCTTCGTGCGCCGGCAACTACCGTGAACGGACTCCTGGACACAGACGAAGACTTCCTCCGGGAGAAATGCGGTGTAACAGACTTCTCGAAGTATAGCGTTATCCCCGGCTCGACGCCGCGACGAATCATGCCCGAGACGTTCCCCGTGTTGGAAGTTGCAGAGCAGGATGACGAAGGGCAGCGAATGGACAGTGCGAAGATCCGGGCTAGTAAGATCTAGTGACTAGTCCTTGGGCTATTGCTTTACCGGGAGATGGGGGTTGTCTTTTAGACTCGCAATATGGACTGGGTGGTCTGAGCTCGAGCGAGCTGAGCCGAGCCGAGTCTTTCACTGAGGATAATATAGGAGAGAAACTCTGTGTAACGGACGGATTCCGGTTGGTGCAGTTAAATTCAAAATATTCAATTGAAGATGAAGTCATCAGTGCCATTCGGATTAATGCAAAAGAAGTAGACGCTCATGCTGATGCAAAAATAAAAATAGGGAAATAAGAATATGGAGAAGGCAAGTGAAAAAAGAAGGGGCAAAGGAAGCGGAAAAAAAGAGACAATCAAGCCGACCGAGAAAAATAGAACAAGGCCCGAATCATCGACCGCTCAATATTCCGGACAAATTAGGGTTTTGAAGATCGTGAAAATGGCAATGAAAATGAGAATAGCAGACCCAGGAAGAAAACAGCAAGAAACGCCATGGACATGATAGATCAATCAAAGCACAATGTGGGTATTCTCACAAGAGAATCGCAAAGCCGGCAATGAAACCGCTGATGAGAATGAAAGTTCCATAGATATGGCCCATTTCGAGGGCGTATCGAGTAGCGGCACCGGTGGCCTCGTTGGTATTCACCGCACTGGACGTGGCGGTACTTGTCGTAGCAGCGGCAGAGGTAGTAGTGGTAGTGACATTGACGCGCTTGGGGTCTTGAGCTCCGCAAGGGTGGTCGGAGCGGCAGGCGGCCGCGCAGGCACTAGTGGTGCACTTGTTGACACATTCGGTGTTTGCCTCGGTGCAGATGTAGTAGGGCATTGTCTGGGAGTACTCGGATGCATTGGGCGAGACATTGTTGCTGCAGACGCAAGAGTAGCTCAAGGTATCCTAGTAAAGATGATTAGGTACATTGATAACGGAGCGAGGGCAATCGATGAAACTCACAGCATCGCAGGTATTGTCTACTGGAGACCCGGTGGCTCCTGGAAGCTGTAGACAGATGAGTGGACAGGCAGCTTTCTGGGAACTGCACCAGTAGTCTGTGTGTGCAGGTTAGCATGTGGTGTGTTGGGTTGGGGGATCTGCATTGCGGGACTCACCTCGAGTGGCCTGGGCGACGGAGTTTATGTCGATAGACTGGGTGTTCACCGGAGTAAGGACTGAGGCGAGGACCAAAAGAACGGACGCGAATACGGTGGAAAACATGGTGTGATGTGTGATGGGGAAAAGAGGTGGTGGAAGGAGAGGGAGAGTGAAAAAGAGAGAGGGCAGTGTGACTGGTGGCTAGTGACTGTTCACAGCCGGTGACAGTCACGACTAAATAGGAAACGCAGTGTCAGTCGGTGTAGGCTGCCGATGCCGACTCCGGCGGGTAAAAATAGCGTGGAGGAGCGGAATGAAGGGGGAATGCAAGAGGGTGGCCACCGCCATGTCTTAGAACTTACTCTCGGGCGAATTCCTGAGCTTTGTTCGAGAACGTCTGGGAATGAGAGGCTAAAGCTAGTGCCGTTGAAAAGGGAAAAGAGCACCACAGCGTGCAGAGGAGATGCAGAGGAGGGAACTGAAACTGTACAGATCGAGCGGAGTCGGGAACGACAGACTGGAATTACAAACGAGGATTGGAAAAGAAAAAGAAAAAGGGTACGAGTAGAGAAAAAAAAGGGAGAAAGGAGGTTTAGGAGATCACGCGCATATAGAAAAGCACTAGTGGCCGATAGGGTGATACTGCAGATCCACAGTGCAATGCAAAGAGGGCGTGGCAATGGTAGTGGTAATGGAAATGGAAATAACATTATCGACAGGAAGTGTCCATCTAGTTCAACTTACTAAAAAGGTAGAACATCAAAGCAAACTCGACGCGAACAGCTCCAAGCTGGTGTGGAACCAGCCCGAATGACATGTCGATCCGGGGATAACTATCCAGAGGACCTTAGCTCTGGCAACCCTTGATTCAACTTTTCAACTCCTGGTAGAGTCAATGGCAAGGCAGAACTCACCACGATGTTCATGCGGCAACTCTGATTGCCACATCATATCGCACTTCTCTCTGCATCGATATCACCCGCCATTTCGCACCGACTAGTCTGCACTGCAACGAGGCGAACGGCGAAAAAAAAAAAGGATGATAAGGGTCGATGTCTCAGTTTAGCGGCAGCGCCGATCAGCCACTTGCCCCCTTTAGGACTAGTTTGCTGCTTGGCTCGAACCCTCGCGAATCCCGGACAACAAAATGTCAGACCGCGGTGGGGGGAACACATGTACTGCCCGCCAAATGGAGTATAGAATGATTCAATCGAGCGGGGGAGGTGGGGGAGGAGGGGAATGGCAATGATAATGGAAATGATACGAGTATGACTCGGTTAGCAGAAGATAGGATGTGGCACTGTGTCAGATGATAGGATCATTGCCACAGTATTTAGTGCCACCTATAATTAGAGACTGCCCACTAGTACTAGTACTACTAAAAGTTGTGGTCTGCGGAGCAGAGTATAACCCCTCTTCCCTCGACTACTAGTACGCAGATATCCTAAAATCTAAAACTACAGGGCGGGAAACAAAAAAAGGTATTACATCTGCGATTATACTGGCACTGTGCCGTGCCAGTGATATTAGAAACAGGAATGCTGCTGACAATTCTTCATTCATGCATAGAGCGACCCATCAAAGCGTCCAGATAGTATCTTCCTCCGAGCCAAAATCAAAAGCCAATCACAGAAACTGAATGCAGTTCAAAACATCGAGATTGCCAAGCGAGCCGACCTGGACATCCAAACTCTTCAGGGAATTAAATCCAAGCCCCCATGGCAAGGGGGGAAAAGAGAAGGGAATTAATGCAATGGCAGATATAAAACGCAAGTTCATACGATCCACGCTATCGTATCTTCAATTTCAAGAGCGATGGGAAGAGCTTGGGATATCTTTACTTGTCACGGGTGGGGGTGTTGACATTCCAATACAAAAGCAGCACTAGCACTGGTGGGGCGCTGCGATCGTGCTGGAATCAGTTTCGTCTGGCATTCCAGGGACTTCTCGGTCGTGTAAAACTTGAAGCTTTGAGATGGTCTTCCAATGTTGTAACGCTAAAAGTGATTTATTTCCCACTGGCAGTGGTATACAATGGAATATCATACCCAGTCTGGGCTGCTTTTAACTAGCGGTTTCAAAGTATTTTAACCCTATTACCAGACACTGTATAAATTCCCCGAAGCTATGAAATACGTCATGACGAAGGAGAAGAAATATTTTACTATTAGTATGCCGGAAATTAATCGACTTGATAATAAATTGATTAATTACTGTGCACTATTTTTGACCTGGCATCCCGCTTACATAACACCGCCAAATGCCTTTTTCGCGTTGGAGACGTGGAGATCGCCCTTGGATTCCACTCTCCAACTAAGATCACACCTGCTCTTTCACAACTTCGCTTGGACTCGGACCGTTTCAAGGTGAGTGTGTCCTAATCGCGGCACCCTGACCACGCCCTTCCCCCCCCCCCCAACACCCCCTTTCCGTTGCCCCCGTGGTCTTGCCAGAGTCAAAGCCCGAGCCTTGCTCGCCCCCGCATGGGCCCGCTAGACTGCAACTCAACCCCGAACCAATGCACCTCGGCTCGAGCCGAACCTGAAAGCTACCAAAAGCCAGCCATGCTAACACACCTACTTCACAGCGTCTTGTCTATATCTAGACGGCCTGCCAACATCTGATGGATGGATCCTGGTACTGAGGAGACCGGCCCGGCACCCCCGTTGCAACCGCCGCGCTCCTCGCCTTCACCTTCACCTTCGCCCTCGCCTACGAACTCGAGCTCAACGCCGGCCGATGAACACCCCGCAACACAATCGCAAGACACACATACACAAGTCTTAGCTGAGCTCCAAGCCGAGGTCGAGACAGAAGCAGAGGCAGAGGCAGAGAGAGAGGCAGAAGGAGAGGCAGAAGGAGAGGAGCAACAAGAAAGCGCAGCCTCAAGCTCCAAATCACGCCCCGTCTCAGGCGTCGTACCGCCATGGTGGCAGCGTCATGAAAGGAACATTTCGCGCGTCTCACAAAGCTCCCTCCGCAACACGATTACCCTAGAAGACCACACAGCGGATCCGGACTCGGAGACAAGCCGCGGGCTTTGGGCGCGGAACGTGGCTATAAATGACCATTGCGTTGTGCAAGGGAAGACTGGGGTTGGCGCGTACGTTGTTTGGAACTGTGTCGTTCAGACTCTCGATGTGAGTTGCAAGCAGCGAAGCACCGCACTCCCCTTTGAATTTTCTTCCTCTTATCCACCCTTTCCTTTGCTTTACTTTGGCTGTTTCTGTTACTGTACTGACCATTGCTCCTCATGTCCAGGGTGGTCCGATAGTCGTTCGAATGAGATACTCCGAATTCGATGATCTGCGCCAGCGCCTCGTGTCTTCATTCCCGCACGCGAAAAGCGCATTGCCTGCGCTTCCGCCGAAAAGTGTTCTCTGTAAGCTACCCACCTCAGCTTAGCACCCTGTTGCCCAGACTGGTCCCTTTGGATAAATCATCCAAATTGGATTACTGATAGTTGTAACAGTTAAATTCCGCCCCAAGTTCCTGGAGAATCGACGTGCTGGACTGGAATATTTTCTCAAGTATGCATGCATCCTCCCCAACTCCTCCTTCCCCCCCCTGGTACGGCATACCACACTGGGGGAAGAAATCGATGCGTTGCCGCTCGTCTCATCATCCACTGGTGGATATTGATAACATCGTCGCTAACAAAGATCTTAGTTGTGTTCTACTTAATCCTGAATTCTCAAGCTCGCCTATCGTCAAGGACTTCCTTTTTGGTCGAATGTCTTAAAAATCGACGCATGAATACCGAATCAAGCTGAGAACCTCATCCTGTAAAATATCATACCATGTTACGATTTCGATTTACCCGCACTGCTGCTCTACCTCCCACTCCCACTTGAATGCCATTCTAGGCCCCTTCTTGGAATTATACTCCCATGAACAAGTTGAGCATTGAACAGTGAACATTTTTGACATTGAATTGAACCTTCTCTCACCCCAACACATATCCCTCCCGAAACTCGAAGGACGTAGATTGAAGTGATTTATGGCTAATCGCATAGGATTTTATCGAATCGATTTTCCTACCATTCAGAATGAAGAACTAAGGCCAGAGCCGAGACAGAAAAATAAGGAGACAACACGAAAGAAAAGTAGCTTGTTCTGACTCGGTATGCACGACACAAGGAAAATTAGATGAGATAATGAATGACACAGTTGACCGAACCGGACCGGACCGTTTCGCTTTCTCGGCCCTTGGATTCCAACATAACAAAATAAAACAAAACAGACAAACGCCTAGCTATGATACAAGCGATCTTTGAATATGGTACAGCAGCAGGAGAAAAAAAAAGACAGCAATTTCGAAGAGGCTCGGTGGCGGGTCCTCTATAGGGATTATTGAGCTGTTGGGTTGGGTTTGGTTGGGTTGGTTGGTTTTGGGTTTGGCTTCTTTTTTGGATGATCACGCTGGATTCTGGTGATTTTCAGTCCCAGTCCCAGTCCCGGCTTCCGCCCCAGCTTCCAGAGACGAAGCAGCCCCAATTTTATTGGTCGATTTCGATTTCCGTGTCGAAATGCGCTCGCACAAATCCGCCCACAGAACCTTTCGCAAACTGATATTTGCCATATGAACCATAGCCAGCAAGTGTCTCAGACTCGGCATGCCCTTTGGAAAAACGAGAAACAAACCCGAGTCTTGCACGGGGTCAGGGCGGAATTTATCGTGGTATGCCTTCTTGCCCCGGATCGGGAGTCGTTGGAAGGTATGCCCATATAGGTCACGGGTGATGGATGTGAGCAGTTGTGCCGGCATGCCGGAGATATCGTCAGACTGCAGTTCATGAACGGGCTCGAAACCTAGACCGAGGTATGAGACGTTGGCGCGTTGGAGAAGGGCCATCGCTGCGACGATCAGCAGGTCGCTGATTCCTTTTGCACTTCTCGGGGCCGCGATGCACGGGTCAACGTGGTAGCCGCCGCATCCTAAGCGACGCAGGGCGGCGAATCCGTTTATACGGTAGTCTGGGCCGCGGCTGTAGACGAAGGTCATTAGGGATGGCAGGGCGAATGGATCGTATACTGTGATGAAGGCTTGTGGGCCGGTGGAATCGTTGCGCTCTGCGCGCCATGAGTCGTATACGGCTACCAGGTCGCTTTCAAGATCCGCGTCTGTGCCGTGGATGGCTGGGGCGTAGACGCCGAGGGTGATGCCGCCTTTATCTGGGTGGAGGAGTTGTCTATTTTGGACGGCGATGCGTTTCCCACTTTGTTCGTGGAGGACTTCGTTTGATTGCGGGTTTAGGACGCGCTGGGTGCCGAATCGGATTGTTGTCCACGAGTTTGGATGTGCTTGTTCGCGGACGAAGGACTCGCTGGCTCCCATGAAGGCAATGCCCCAGTGGTGCTTGGATCGATATGTGGTGAACTCGGCGAGGAGGTCTGGGATCATGGCTGGTTCACAGAGCGGGTCGCCGCTCACGATTGCAACCTTGTTTTGGACCTTAAAGGAAAGAGCTGCTGTTCGTTCTTTGTTCACAAAGAAGCGATAACTGTGATCTAGGATGCCCATGTGTGCGACGCGGCCATATTGTGCGGTTAATCGCTGGATTGCTGTGATGGTGGAGAAGTCGTCGAGCGAGAAGACGCTTCCTTGAGGCTGGTTGGTATGGGTTGTATGGAGTGTGTGGACGGATTTGGTGCTGAGACATGACTGGCTCCCTGCCGCTCGGAGTGATGGAAGGCTGCGTTCTTGGATATCTCGTTCGTCGAGACTGGTGGGAGGAGTACTCTCCACACCGGTCAGGGTTCGGCTGCTGCTGCTCAAGGAGCTGGCACAGGAGGGTGTCGTCAAGGTCGCCGAGAACTTGCTTTGTAGGTGATCGACAACTGAGCCATTTGCGACGCCGAGTTGATCGTCGAGTCGGGGAGCTGTATAGAGTTGATCGATGAGTGCATCGCCCAATTCATCCAACAAGAGAGACTTTTTCTGTTTCGGACCGGTGGTGTCGGTGGTACTGTTACTTGTCTTTCGACCTCGCCTCCCTCGCTTTTTCTTCTCAGACACGGAAATTTTGGTATTGTTGGTAGAATGTGTGTCGAGATCTGTTGCAGCGGTTACCAAGATGGGAGGCACGATGCCGATGCTGGCCTCGACAGGCAATGGGTTATAAGGGGAGGTCATCGCGTGCCCCGTGTTTGCAGAAATTGACTGGAAATATAAGGATTGTCAAGCTTGCACAATCCTACCCTGTCATAGTATAGAGAGGGCGGAGGAAGTTTAAAGAGAAATTGGGTGAAGGGGGGGAGGATCAGTAAAGAAGGCGTGTTTATGTTACAGCATGGGTATGACGCTGGTTCGATCCTTCCCAGACTACAGAGTACAGTACGGAGCAGTACCTACTCATACAGGAGGACTGGTAGTACTAGTAGTACTACTGATACAGGAATACCTAGTAAGATTGTTTTGATCAGGCAACGTAATATTGCATCACACATGTCTTCTTTCCTTCTTTCCTTGAGTCTGCGCCCCGCTGTTGATCCAGTGGATCTACTTACCCTACTTACCCGCCCCAAGGTCCGCCACAAACCAATGAGGGACTCCTGCGCAACTGTCACGAAATGTACAGCTCAGGCTTTGTGATCTGACTGTGTATCACATGGAGTTGGGGAGAGACAGCACTGCCCTGGGTCAAAATTACAACTATTACAGTGACCCAGTGAGAGTATAATTTAATAGGGGGATGATATCGAACATGCATATAATTATAATTAGTATATTTCAATAAAATTGACAAAGAACTCCCTAATTCGTAACTGGTATAGGCTGGAAAAAGAAAAGAAATAAAAGAGATCAAAAAGAGGAAAAGGGAGAAAGAGAAAGAGAAACGCTGGTGCCTTGTTAATCCCAATCTCCATACCAATCCCAAACCTGCAGGGCTACATTAACCTTTCCAAACAAGCCTCTGCGCCGCCCCACTTAGCGCCAGGGTTCCCGGCCTTTCCAGTCTTTTTTGACTCTTGGGACCCTTGGGACCCTTGGGATCGTCTGGTTGCCCCAACACTGCTGCCTGAAACTCGGGGCCTCGCAACCCGCGGAGCCTCGCAACCCGCGGAGCCCGATTTCAACTTGGCGTTCGCACATGTCCGACTGGCCCCCTCGTATAGAATTGACAATGGCGGCTGCTTATTCCGCCCATCCGTTCACTCCGTACTTTGTGGCGTTTCTAAGAATATCTACCACCGCTCGTATGTTCAGTGGCGGTGCTGATGATGACTTTAGGCATGTATGTATACAACCCGGAGAAAAATGCACACCATAGAGCGGATATATGCCGATCTTGGAAGATATTCTAGATTTCATCCTAGGCGCCGGGGCTTCCACAATATTCGTGCGTTTTCTTCGGCTCCAACGGGTAGCGGAATTCAAAGATTCCGAAATGTGGATCAATCGCTCCAGTAAAAAGGGCCAGCATGAAGATAACTAGCAGAAAATATGAGTAAGGACGTGCTCTATGATGCCACGAGGTAGTACTGCGGGCTGTCCTTCGACAGTGTATCTTGATCCGCCGAACTCCCACCTACTAGTACTTGTATTGTTCTTCATCTCACGCCAAACCGATCTTGCATGAATAATCCAGTGTAATTTCGATATTAATGCTGATCTAGAGTTAAATAACGCCGGGCGGGCCGAAAAATATCCGAGCTTCCGAATGTCCGCTAGATCAGCTAATTGATTCACGCACCTTGCCCGAAGAAGGAAAAGCTGAATCGTGCAAGCCCCAAATTTTGGAACCTAATCGGATCCACCGATGGGCCCTATACGAGTATGTACTAGCTTGGCATCTGCCTATCACATGAGTGGGTATACCCAACGGAAGATGTTTTTGGGCCGAACTAGACCGGTGGGTCGGAAATGTTCCAAGATTTTTAGAGAGAGCTGGAGAAGAATCAACAATTCTTGTGATTGACCATCGGGCCAGGGTTCTAGAGAGAGATACGGAGTTGTCCTGGCGGTACAAGCAAGAGTATTTAAACACATACCTTCTTTAAATCGGCATTTGAAAAGGCTACCTTCGGTGGTCGCACGGTTTCTTACAGATTCATAAGTATGACACTGTGAGAGGATGGCTACCAATGGCATCTGAAGTTGTACAATATTGAAATGAACTGAGCTTATGCGAGAGGGATAAATACAAACTCTATCTTGAAGGCATTGTTCCTCACGGCTAGGAACAGTTGACGACCAGCGATTGGTTGGTGTTGTCTGAATGTCTGCCCCGCCGTGCTGTCTAGTCTGAATAACGAGTCGGGATACCGAGAGACCGCAGACTTTGAGGGAGAAATTTCTCTCAGTGTAGAAGAGGATATGCAGTAGCTACTGGTTAGATTATTAGAATGTAGCTCTCACGGATAATGCATCTCATCTCTCATGTTACCCACATGCAGCTATA